TGCGATTTGCTGTGATGCGTTAAATTGCGGTTTTATTTGCACGTGCGGTTTTCTATCAGGAAAAGTGCTGCGGGGCAAAGCCGATAATGTTGCCAATATTTTCACAGATAAATTCAATTTTTCAGCTCTGGCGCTAAAGAAATATATGGGGAAATGTCCAGCAAAAGAAAATATTTACGATTTCATATCACCGTGGGCTTCAGCTATCATTTTCAGAATTTTCATTGTTGAAATTTGTTAAAATATAGAGTATTCAATAAATATGAATATTAATTCGTAGTTAGTTGATTTTAAGTAGTTGAAACTGTACAAAACACACAAACATCCATTGCTCGACATTTACCTGGAGCAAAAAATAGTTGTTTATGTTTTTTTCGGGTCGATCGAATGTTGCAACTTCGAATAACAATGTTTTGATATTTCACGGCTCAAAACGATACACGTAGATCCATCTATCACCACAAAATAAAACTATTGTTGCATTAATGTAAAATCACGTAGAAACGCTTCTAACACCCGCAAATTAACACGGAAAATTAATTAAAATATACCATACTCAGTCATTTTGTTGATTTCAATATTAAAACACAAAAATTCCAAGAATAAAAAATTAAATGCGCCAAACGAAAATCTTTTGTTTGTTTTTTGTTTGTATAACAAATTTCACATAATTACCGGGTTATTAAAAAGCCATTTGTTTCCCTTGACAAACCAAGGCACTGTTAAATCAAGAAATACGAGAAGCGCAATTGCCTTTTAAATTTTGCATGTACTGATAGCGTATTTTCGCGCGATATTACTTTGCACCAGTTCGGTACACGCTTCAGTCAACAAACTTAACTTAAGCCTACTCACATCACAACTCGCAAATATCCAATAATAATAAGGAAATGTGCAGGCGAGAATGCGCGCACTCTCGACCCGCGAGTATATTAGGAGTCAATTATGACATTCGTGTTTCTGTTTGCATAATAAAGAAGGTCGTTAGCGACGACGACAACGGCAAGGAATTCATTTTTTGTGCATGCGCTCGAATTCTACTCAGCAGCTTGGGGCTCGTACACACGATTCACTTCGAATTACGTAACTCAACGATGATGTAATACGAGGCAGGCACATAGCATGCCGTTGTAGTCCGTGAGTCAAAACAAGAGAATTCGCGCTTATCCATCCGCTTGTTTGATGCGCATGATAAAAACCGCCGCTAACAATGCGAACGTTTGTATGCTCATACGAGCGTGTTTACATTGGATGCTTGTTTGAGTTGGTCGGTGAGTTGTGAATAGTATTAACGCTTGTTTGACCATTATTAGAGCATGCCGGCTGCAGGAGCAGTAGGAATATTACGTAGAGGCGTTAATGTGTAACCTACGACCTTTCGCTATGGTATTCAGTGTTAATTGATATGCAGATGCGGCTGGCAATTAACCTAAAATTTTTACGCAATTACTGAAACAACGAACAAGAATTACACATTAAACTATTATTTTCGTTTAATGCTCTCAATTGTACCGCTGCGTTAATGGAATTCCTACTATTAGCAACGGTTTGCTAATAAATTCATTTCATATTCCAGCTGGATTAATTGCGAAAGTGAGATTTAAAAATAAATCTTAATGCGTCTCATTGCTATTTTTACGCGAACATTGGGCAGTAGGCTTGCGTTTGCGTTTTCATCACTCTTCAACAAATCAAAAATTAATGTTCTAATATCCTAATGCGTTGATCAAACGCTTTTTTTATTATTCATTTGAGTTAAAACTGGTTGAAATGTTGAAATATAAATATTTAGAGTTGTATCACATTACAGCGCAGTGTTTTCTGATTTTATTGTGATCGATAATCCGGGTTTGTTGTGTGGTTGATTTAATCAATGTAGCTGAATGCAGGATTTTATTTGGAGAACAGACATGCAGTGACATCTGTATGGCAGTTGATCAACTAACCCGATTTCCTGCTGACTACGGTACCTGCTGCAGACGTAATATACTTGAAGCGGTTTTGTTTTGTAGTTGAAAAGTTTCGATTAGGGACACAAAAAGTCAATCTAAGTTTAGCGTTCGCAAACTTCTCGAGGTAATTGGAGTAAAAATTGTGTTATATCCTTCAACTCCATTAAACAATGGTTAGATCTAAACGAAGTTTTCTATTCTATTGCAAACACAAAACTCTTCAAGATACTAAAATATTGATGGAAAAAATAACAAGTACATGAAGTTTATAAAGAGCGATATGTTAGTGTTGGGGGTGTGGGGTTGTCCAGTTGGAGCGATCTTGCAGATTGCAAACATAAAATTATTTTGCCCGGAACTCTAATTAAGCATTGTTAGAGAATATTTTATTTCAGTTGAAATATAACAGGATATACAACAATATTAGTGTGCATTTCATTTTAGATATTAACAATTTGTTGTAATAATCACCTTTACAGTAGATAATAAGTATTTGCGTGACTTGAGGCGTCAAATTTTTGTAGATAAAGATAATTAGACTATTATATCACTATGCATTGAATATTTTATTAAAAAGTGGAGCATATTACTAGGAAAATATACTTTTATATACTCATGGTGTCGTATTACCTAAACGCCGTGCATATAATTTCACTTCATGACTCTACAAGTCTCGTTTTACATATTTAATTTAATACCTTTTCAAACGACTTCTTAATTATGTTTTAACAAGAATTTTTGTTAAAATATCAAATAGCAGTTAAACTTTTCCTAAGATATTTTTATTTTTCTAAAAGCTGAAGTATTTCTTTGATTATATTCGTTAATTTGAAGTATTTAGCAAGAATTTCATATCTCCAAAAATTCTTCAATCAATTATTGCTCATTCTGTGAAAAAGAAAACAAAATGAAATATTGCCAATCTGCATTATTTTTAAGAAAAAATGTAGTTTAACAGCTTTATTTTGTATAAAATTATGCGAATAAGAATAATTTATTATTCCTTTATCGCACAATGCAGAATATCAAATTATTCAATAAATTTGTACATTTATTTGTAGTCAGTTGTTTTTAAGTCTCTTTGAAACTGTACAAAACACACAACAGTCCATTGCTCGACGGTTAACTGGAGCAAAAAAATGTTGTTTATGTTTTTTTGGATCGATCCAATCTTAGAACGTCGAATAACAATGTTTCTATATTTTACGGCTCAAAGTGATACTCATATATCCATCTATCGTCACAAAATAAAACTATTGTTGCATTAATGTAAAATCACGTAGAAACGCTTCTAACGTCTGCAAATTAACACGAAAAATTAATTAAAAGAGACCATACTTAATAATTTTGTTGATTTCAGACATAAATTCCAAAAAATACCAAAGAATAAACATTTAAACGAATTTTTTTTGTTTGTTTTTTGTTTGTATAACTAATATCACATAATTACAGGGTTATTAAAAAGCCATTTGTTTCTCTTGACAAACCAAGGCACTGTTAAATCAAGAAATACGAGAAGCGCAATTGCCTTTTAAATTTTGCATGTACTGATAGTATATCATCGCGCGATATTACTAAGATATTATAAGATATTATTAAGATATATTTATTTTTCTAACAGCTGAAGTATTTCTTTGATTATATTCGTTAATTTGAAGTATTTTGCAAGAATCTCATATCTCCAAAAATTCTTCAATCAATTATTGCTCACTCTGTGAAAAAGAAAACAAAATGAGATATTGTCAATGTGCAATATTTTTAAGAGAAAATATAGTTTAAAAGCTTCACTTTGTATAAAATTATGCGAATAAGAATAATCAATTATTCCTTTTTTGTTCTACTTTATCGCACAATATAAAAACGCAATGAGCTAAAAGTGGATCACATGCATAGCTGGCTAATAAAGAAAGTTTCAAAGGATAGTGTAAAATGCAGAGAATTAAGCAGCGTAAAGTTTAAACCCTGCTGGAAACTAAACGGGTTGAACAATTCAGTATCGATTGCCACACTTAATTATGCAAATAAAAATTTACTCTCGCATAAAATATGCTAAAGTGAAAAGATTAAACTTGCGTTTATACTTCATACTTGATTATTTAATTTAAATGCTTCATAGTATAATTTATGTAAATTGAATTCAAAATACGATTTAATGCTTTTGTAAATGTAATGTCACTTAACACTAATTGCTCTTGGCGTGTTAATTTGAAACAAAAATACAGCGCACTGTTAGTTTTACAACCCATTCATTGACTTGCCTAACAATCCACCCACTTAATTAATTCCGTACAGAAAACCCTTAAAAATCGATTGTTCGCGTGAACAGAAATGATAACGCCCTTTGGATATCATCTATATTTACCATTTCGCTCGAGTGTAATAAAACACTGATAAATACCAAAGTTCAACTTTAACAGGTAATTTTGTATGCCATGTTCGCATTTTCGTATTTCGCTGAACTTTTATTAAATGAGCTTTTCGTGTTTTTCGCTTCAAGTTGGCCACATTAATTCACCAATTTGCGACTGCCTGGAAATTAAGTGCTTATCACGATCGTCATAAAAAAAACTCGCAGAATCGTACGAAAGTACAGAAACATCTCGACAGGATGCTTTGCGTGTGTTTATGTGAGTGTAGCGCCTGTCTGCCAAAGTAGATTTTAATGTAGTCCTGGCACACGTACACTTGTATAATGATCCTGGTTCGCGGCGCGGGGCGACAGACTGTCGGGCTCCGGAGAATTTTGCGGAGCCTCCCAGTCGAGACCAGTCGTCCGTTCGATTTTCCGGGTTGGAATACACATTGTGGCATGTCCCATTTACGACTCAAGTTTATTGGGAAGCAGCAGTAAAACTCCCAGTCTTACGACATCAGTTCTTTGCCGGTTTGGCGAATAAAATAAAACACAATTTCATGCACCAAAAATAAACAACAAAAACGTAACTGTAAGATATGATAATATACGGCTTCAATTGCATGAGTTTTTGCAAAGCAAAGTACGCATTGTATTATTTATTATTATAAGAAAAGGAAACAGTAAATACGTACATGTTTATTTTCCGTGTAAACTGGTTGAATGTCAATGTATTTTGGAGGCTGAGGTTTAGATTTTGAGGGAATTGTCTCCTCGAAGCTGGGTTCGATTATACCATGCCCATGTTGATCTCGGTGAATTCCTTGTGCATCGATAAAATGCATTTGATACTCATGCGAAATCCCATGTGAGTCTAGGTAGTGTCCTCGTCCCTTGTCCTGACTGTGTCGCTTGTGGGTCGAATGGGACCCCCCGGAATGCGTACCGTGCCCATTGTGGGCATGTTGGCTGTCGTGTTTTCCAGCGTCGTGATGTTCTGTAAAATGTAAGGAGTGATGCGACGGCAAAACGGGAAAGTCTCGACCATGCCCACCGCCCCCGTGATGATGCCCATCGCCATGATCCCTGTGATCCTTGTCGCCTTTGCTGTGGTGTTCCTTTGGCGGATGGTGCAATTCCTTGTGGTGGCCGTGACTATGACCGGGCGTGTGATGATGGGACGCCTCCACCAACGTCGGCTGGATGTGAGTGACGAATTGTGCCATTTTCTACCGGTGTTTTCTTTCACACGCGCACTCTGACACGCGACACGCACCGATTTAACGCACACATCAACTTATTGTTTTTATCCGTTACATGGCTGAGGCAGCAAGGGTCAAACATCGAAAGGTAAACAAAGATCGCGATTTGTTGAATTAAACTAGTTATTGCGTGAGTTATTGCACGGGAAGACTGCGTGATGCAACCGTTCGAAGGTGTTTATTTGCGTGGAATGGCGAAGAACATTCTGTTGCGTAAAGTTATCGACGATTGAATGTGCGCCGGGCGCTGTGTTTTGGTGCCGAAACAGGAGTTGAACAGCGAGGGAATAGTCTTGGGATGTGCACCCCTTTTACACACACAGTGCTGCTGCGCACGCGAATCGATAGGAGCGCGCGAAATGGACGAAAGTTGAAGAAGTTAGTTTGGAGTCGGCACGCAACAGATCCTTCGGCTTTCCCGGGCCGAAGGATTGCACAAAACTTTCGTTCTGTGGGAGGACGATATCTGGGGATTTCGCATGCGTACTCCCCACACATCCAGCCAATGTGGATATTTCAAAACACAGCGGCCACGGCACACACCTACTTTTCACTGCATGCAGGACTCGCCACCCATTGCGCGGGAGCACGTTGCTGCCGCCACTCCGGCGAGTACGGAGAGGACAACAAAACAAATGCGTACTATATTTAAACCCCATTCTAGAATACAATAGAATGTCACTTTATATTTAGAATTGGTACGCATATTTCAAAAAAATATGTTAAAATGATTCTGGGAAGAAAAATTATTCATTTTTGTATTGTTAGCCATATTCTGTTTATAGAATACCTAGAAATTCATTTTAGCTTAATGAAAGAATGAAAATGGTGGCTCCTTACAGTAAAATAATTCCAAAATTAATCTTTTATATAAATATCATAATGCTTTAAAGATCTTCACACCGGTATGCAAACAAAAGTGTAAATGATATACTGAACATTTTTTTGTTATCTTATCAGAGATAACAAATATAATTCACGTGGTTTTTAGTAACTTTTCAAACGCTCTGATAAATTACGCAGCTGTTAATGTTCATGCGAGTCATACTCAGTTTATCAATGATAAAACTGATTAATCCACAGTAATATTATTAAGTTGCGTTAGATAGTAGAATGTGGCTGTTCTACTAAAGCACCATATTATTTAGAAACAATGAACTAGCATTACAGTAACTTCTTTAAAATGGTTAAAAAGGGTGACGTTGAACTAACAGAAGTAAGCGTGAGCAACGAAAAAACGAAAAAATCCAAAGAAAGAAGATCCAGTGAAGACCAAACAAATGGACAAATAAAACCAATCCTTAGACTCACACAAAGTCACAGTTCTCAAAGACGACCTCCTTCGATACCGACGATAATTGAAACCAGTGATGAGGAACATCGAAGCGAGGGTTTGCAAACGCTAAATGTGCAAAATTTACCGCGCAAGATAAGCACAGCGAGTGGGATTACCGACAAAGGCAACGTGCGTGAAAGCGGCCGGAGTAATAAAAGTAGTCGAAGTAATGGCGGCAGCGTGAATCGAGGATTTGCCGGATCCAATTCGGATGGAGACGCATTGTCGAATCAGAGTCGTTATTCCAGTAGTCAGAGCTTGTCGTAAGTACCAAAACCAGGAAAATCAAAAAATATCATTGTAAAAAATGTTTGTTTGTTGTAGAACATACAAAGAGCAATACTGCTGTAGCCCGAATTGCAGATTTACGCCTAGGGAACGAAAATTATGCGCTGCCGTAGGCGTTCTGGCGACTATTATTGTGATATTAGTTGTTGTGGTTGGTTTTTTAGCTGACCAAAAAGGAAGTGAAAATACCTTCAGATGGAGCTTTTAAAAAGCTCAATATTTTAAGATTATAACTAATTACAGATCTTAACTACTAATTTGCCAAAAAATATATATTATAAGTTAGTTTTTACAAAATCGCTTATTTAAAACATAATTACTAAGAGATTGGAAAAAGAGATCACATTATCAACCTAAACAACTATCCAAATGAGTATTTATCAACTTTCCTTCAACTTTTTTCTGACAAACAGGGCAAGTAACTGTACTATCATTAACTTTACCTTCATTTCCGTCATCTAAACTATCATCAAGTTCAATTGTATCAATATTCTCATGATGTGCTTTGCTGTTATCAAAACTATTCTCAAACTCATCATCAAAAAACTGTTCCTTCTCGTCATCGTTCATAAAAATCTCATCTGACATGCAGTCATCCAAATGTTGATTAAGAAGACTTTTTAGCACGGTTTTCTTGCATACTAAACATTTGACAGTTTCTTCAGCTTCATTTGCTTTACTAATTGCATCATCTACACCCTTCATTACGCAGGCAGCCACATGTGCATCGTAAATACTCCCACAAAGTAGTTCCTTGCAGATCGGGCACTCCCTGGATGCAGTAGAATCTAATTGTGTGCTTACATTTTGTATACACATTTGCTTGTGAGCGTCAAGCTCATGCGAATCAATCCATTCATCACAAATATCACATTCAATAAGATTCTCAGAACCAACAGCAGTAGTAGCCGAGTTTGAAGTAGATGGTTTATTAAGGCATATGTCCAAATGCTGATTGAGTTCGCCTTTTGCAAGTTGTTCGTTACATACTGGACAGGGCACTAAATCTAATTTTTGGCGTTTTGCCGCGGGGACTTTGAACGGTGTACTATTTTTATGATCGTTATCAAACTTATCAAGCCAGCGGTTGCGCACTGCGGAATAATCATCTTTGCTTGAAAGAGTTTTCTTGGAAGTAGCGAGTACATGACCAGAACCATTAAATAGAACTATACTTTGTTTAGGAGTGGCAATTTCTTGATTTCTAAGTTCAAGAGATCCATTTTGTCCAGGTTGAAATCCATTGATATTCTGTATTTTTGTATTATCATGCATTTTTCTTTGATTTGAACTTATAGGATTATTTCTATTGGGACTAGTATCCGTGACAGGAAAGAAATTCCTAATATCTTTATGTTTGGGAGGTGGAGACTTGATTTTGCTGCCTTTTGTGCTGTTATTAACCCTAGGAGTTGTTTTAGGTTTAGTATTTTCTTTTCCTTCTTTTTTCTTGGTGCTTTTCTCCGGTTCCTTCACTTTGATGAAAGTACCTCCACAATTTCTAGAATGTTCTGCCCACCATCTATCATTTGGTCCAGGTGCTCTATTTGTTGCTCTCCTGACCATACCAAAGAAAGGTCTGTTATGTTGACATGGACCATTACATTTCCACCAGTGCTGCTTGTATAATCTCACTTCATCATGAAAAGTGTGATAAACTGTAATATTTGTCCCTGCTTCACCATTTATCCTGTACATGTGTTTGTGAAACTCAGGACCATGACCATCTCGATCCCTGTTATTATGTGTAACAAATAAAAAAGCATGTATCATTTCATGCAATAAGGTTTCAACTAAATCTTTTCTAGGCCTCAGTTTTAATAAAGGTTCACTTAATGTTATACTACACATACCACCCCTTGGCTGATATGAACATATGCCAGCACATGTAGTCATTCTTTTACTCCAAGAAACACACACTGAGAGAAGTTTGTTCCAAAAATATTGCTGATTAAATGCTATGAAGAGATTGTGAATATTTGGTGTTGGATCAATCAATTCCCATGAAGGATCGACCAACGATTTGGTGTTATCAATATTCTTTTTCTTAGTTTCATAAACTAAATTTGATGGGTTTTCAACAGCAACTTCTTGGTTAAATTGTCTTTGCAATTCTTTAGCAATCTCGTGATCATCTTGGGAGTCTGCTCTTCGAAATTTCGCCTTATCATACTTTAATTGCTCTTCTATTAATTGCTTCAATCGATAGTCTTCCATATCTTATCAAGAGGGTTTTAATCACTTTGAGTATTGCAGTTTGGATAACCTCTTATTAGATTTGAAAATTTACGCGATATCTAACTTTTGACATTTCAATAACCTCTTCACATTGACAGTGAAAACTTGTGATGAAAACCAAACTAAACAATTCTGTCAGAATTGTATACGTAAAACTGTGAATACCCTCCAAAGTTGGGTGTAGATTATATAGAATTGTACATAGATAATTCATGATTGCTTACGTTATAAATATTTGCATTTGTCGTTTTCGTAAAAGCAGTCTCAGTTCAGTACGTACAGTAGTAATTCTACGACGTGTCAATCAGTGAAGTGTAAAAATTGATACAAAAAATTGAATAACTGTAAATCCATGACTCATTCACAGTAATTAGCCCCACAATTGTTGATACTAGTACAAGTATGTCATAATCTAATATGTTACTAGTTAGTATACTAAGTTAATAAGAAATATTGTTGCAGAATGCATCCCAGACTAACTCAACACAGACACCATCATCCTCCACAACCCCCAGTGGAGGATTTAAGAGCCCGCCTCAATAGAATGAGGGATCAGAGAGAAAGTGATGAAGCTGCTGGGATACCACCACCAGAAGACTCCTACATATACAATTTACCTAAGCATCAAAAGCATGCAGGATATCCAAATGAGAAGAGAGCATCATCAGCACAAGGTAACAGGTCTGTGGGTCAAACTGAATGGGAACAAGGAAAGGTTGTCAACATCAAAATTCAAGTCTCAGAAGGTGGTGAGAGGATGTACCAGATGGATAAAGAAGAAGTGATAAAGGTGCCTACACCTGAAGGTTGCCAACAAGGTCCCCTTTGTGGTGGCAGCTCAATCATTAAAAATGAATTTGACCCAGGGATGAAAACAAGGGGTAGAGGAAGATATAGAGGTGCTCCTAGAGGTAGAGGATACTCAAGGGGAAGAGGACGTGGAGTTTTTAGAGGAAGAGGTGATGGAAGAAGGGGTAGAGGCAGAGGAAGAGGCAATAATGGAGATTCAGCATCAAATTCATCAGAGGTGACTGAGCAAGATGGTACTGAAAGGACTGAAGGATCAGAAGGTAGTGGAGAACAGAAAGAGGAAGAAGTTTATGATGATGAGTGCAATTCTGAGGAGTATCATGAGGATGAGTATGCTGATGGGGATTATGAAGGTGGACATGATGACAAACCAATTGAAACTACAATAATACAAAGTGGAGAATCAAAAGAATTACGAAAAGAGATAGTCAGGGAGGTTTCAAAAGAAGAAACTAAAGAAAATCAAACCACAGAAGTTACTAAGCCCCAGGAGACACAATCCAGTACTAAATCACAAAGTGATAACAAACCCATGGTAGAAAAAGTTAACAAAGAAGAAAAAGAAGAAAACACAAAGCAAGAAGCTGCTAAAGTAGTTGAATCTACAGAGGGTAATCTAAGTAAATCAGAAACTGTTGATACAGATAACAAACACCTGCTTGGTGTATCTAAAAGTGAGACAAATAATTAAAATATTGTAGCGACAGTTTCCGTCCACTTAGTTCAACTATATGTTCTGCATAGATTATTATGCAGCGAATGACAGATAATTTAATGGAAATGGAATATTATTACAAAAAACGTGCTATATTTGATAGTGTTCGAGACATGTTTGCAAATTCTAACGATTTATTTATTTATGTATCTTTTCAAAGTTTATCTGTAAGCAATGGTCACAATATTTTATATTATCGTTTCGATATCTTTTAAAACAATTTGCTTTATGTGGCTTTAAGTAACAATCAGGTTAATCAATCAAGCTTTTACATTTTAAGAAACAATTTGATGTAAATCAATTAATTAAGGAATTTTACAGATTTTAAATATTGGTTTTGTTTTTAAAAAGTAGCAGGAAAGTAAAACTTTTTACTAGGATTTTATAGTTTTATATACGACCATTTATGTGTGGATTTTAATTATATTTATTGCTTTATGAATGTGTCTTTGAATATTTTTAGTAGGACGAGTGCAGAAGTAGGAACTTAAGGACAATTTGTCGAAATTGAAGATGTTGCACGCATAATTAAGACAACATTTTATAGGTTTTCTATGAAAACAAACGCGTTTGTGTTTCGTGAAGCTCGGTGTAGCGCAAAGCGCGACTTTATTTTAATCTTCTCTTCCTGGAGCTTAGGCTTTTAACTAACTCCAACATAAATACTCATGTTAATGATTGGCGCAATCTTCACAGCGCGTGAATGTTCGAAAAAACAACGGACAAAACGGTTTTAAAGCCGCGAAATGAAATCGCGTCAGGTGTTCGCGACGTGTTTTAAAATAAACTCCAGCACGCTTAAGAACGACCAGTATGGACGATCGCCGGCGGCGGGAATCGCTCGCCACCCGCAAGCGGCCCGATTACCGCTTAATCCCCGATGTGTTTACGAGTTCTCCGCTGGCGAATGCGCCATCATCGACGCCGCCGGCGGAGGCATGGAGTTGGCGTCGACGCCGCGCCAGAGTTATACTTCTTGCACGAGCCGTCGACGGTGGTTCTGTCTGTCCGTTCGACGACGACGCGCGGGGCGTCCCTTTTTTTTGCGCGCTTTATTTGCGCTTAATAAATCTTAATAATTAATGAAGTGCTCGTGCGCGCACGTTCCGTATCGTGGCGGTTCGTGTCGGACGTCGGTGACCAGCGTCGCGCAGACAGAATTAGTCATCCTCTGGCGGCCTCTTTAAACTTAGCCCAGCGACTTTTTCAAAATAGATAAAACGTGGCCGGACTCGCATAGTGTTTGTGAACGCATCGCACGCAAGCGTTTTTCCCGCAAACTTCTCTAAGAAAGTGAGTAGAAAACTTTTGCTAAACTTTTCATATTGTTTATGCGCTTTTTTAAGCTTTTTTGTGCTTATCAAACTTATATTCAGCATTTATAAATTGAATACAATGCAATTAATTAAATTCCAATGCGAAATTGTAGTTGAAAGAAGGTCGTTGCAGTGTATTTTCGGACTAAAATTGCATTGCAAACACGTGTAGGAACATTTCTCGAGAAAATTTAGAATGCGTTTCTTGCAGTATTATTTACTTTACCGCCGTAAAAACTTGTTTTTCGCAGGATAAATAAACAGTTTCATCAAAATAAGATATATAATTTCCAGCCGGTACTCATCTTTTTAAAAATTGTAGCTTGTTCTCGGTTTTCCGCAATACAAATTTATAACTTTTGAAAGCAAACCATGAGGTATATTAATATATAAGTAATATTTCTGCTTTCGTAATAAAATTCAAGATTATTTTACCGCAACATATTATTTTATGAGCAGTACAAATATAAACAAACTTTAATGAGTATATTATTATGAAGTGCTAATTTCTCATTTTCTCAGATGCGTAGTTAAGTTTAAAATAAAATTAAAATAAATCATTTTTAAAGAAATGATGCGTAAAGCCACACTAATATATAAAGTGCATTTTTGGCTATGTGCGTGTGTATTTTTGCAGTAATGCGTGAAATATTAAAACGATATCATAATCTAAATATAATCGCAGCAAGAGCATACCGGATCAGTTCCGTAATCGCAAAAAGGAACGTATCCTTGCAAAAAATCAAGACGAGTTGGCAAAAATCCACCGGGTACAACAATCAGTTTGTTTTCACCGAGAATAAGCAAGGATAAACATTTATTTTACTGCCTGGCGTTTTGTACTCCAAATTTTCACACGCAACGCTCACAGTACAAGATAGTTCCACAGCTAAATTTATAGTCACTAAACATTTCAACAAACGTTCAATAATTCTGCAGTTTTTGGAATTGTCATCGAATAAATTATTTTTCTATAAAGAAAATAACAGTATTCATGCATTTAATGACAACTGCCAAAAGAAAACTAGATACGTATATGTAACAAGATATTAACATTTAAAATAACTTTTATTGTCTCGAAACTAATAAAATCAAAACGTCTCCGGCTGAAAATTGATGACCGAACGGTTCAGTTTTGAGCCAAAAGTCAGAAAAACAAAGGCGCATCAAGAAACTGAGCTGCCTATTCAATATGTATTAACGTGCGTATTTTTATAAATGCTAAATATTCGGAGGAGTTAAACCTAAACGACTATTAAAAATCTAAAATTGTAACGCACAGCAGCAGCTATTCATTATTGTTTGCATCAGTTCAATGTGAAACGAAAGTCCTCAAAACTAAGCAACACTAAACTTCACAGTCTATTTGTATAAATTCTCTTTTATCTGACGCACGAAGATTAATACTTCATATGATGACATATTAAATTTGGAAAAGATTTAGTTTCCAACCGGCAATAAATTTAAATTTCAAAAACGCTTTTTTGCATTCTTTTACTTCTCGGGCAAGTTTTCCCAAGAATCTCATGCATTTATTTTTATTTCGCGACATTTCGAGTTTTTTGACTGCTCAGAGGGAGTAACGAACTCTCATCGATCAGAAAAGTGTGCTGTCTGCGTTAATTATGACGGTTTACTTTTTGTCTTCAATATGTGTTTAGTAAACTAGCTGCGCACAACTTTAATGAGCCTTAAATTGGCGAATCCTGCATGCACATTTGCAATGCACTCGTACGTTTACGCATTGCCTACCATTTACCATTGTTGATTGGGCATGCGCTTCCTGAACACTCAACTGAGTTGTGTGTATATTTTGTTCGCCTGAAAGCCATGCATTAAACTCATACGTGCACAAATCCGATCTAGATTTTGGGGACCGAATCTATAAATGTTTTCAGTGCAACTCCGATTGTCCGAGCGCCTGTGCTTGAAAGTGATTTGTTTACGCGTGCCTCCCAATTAGTTATCATTTTCATCATAACCCAACCCCAGACATCAAAAAATCACAATTACTCAGAACAAGTGCATCATTCTTTGGTTTGATTCCAGTGTTTTTTCACATTTTGATTTTCGTCCTCATCATCGTCACGATTGAAATGCTGCTTTGCTTGTCGATGTTTCGCTGAGTGTGCGCTTATTTTCTCTTGAAAGTTTAAGTTGTATATAAGTTTAGGCAAAATGAGCGGGTTGCTTAACATGTTTTGGGCTTTTCTCGGTTATGATACCGCAAAGCAACTAACCGGGTAAGTGCTTTTTACATTTGTGCCGTCGCACTCTCGCTTGCGCAGATCTGTGTGGGACACTTCAACCGGAAGTAGTTATTTGTTGAATTTATAATTATCTTATAAATAGTCAACAGTTTGCCGTTTCAATAAATTTTATGCTGCGCGTCTGGCGCTCGCAAATTAACGGCCAGCGTGCATTTAGGTCCGGTGTAAAATACGATTGACCATTTTGCAATTATTTACAACTTCATAAATTTCCAAGCATAGTTCAATAAATTGAAACTCTAATTATGATCTATACCAGTCGATATATTTAAATATCTATTATATAATATTGTTTCTTTTATAGGCTCGGTAATGTCACATGTTTGTCAGGCGGCCATTTTGTGTAGGGTATCAAATAACAAATTTTCAATTCAATCTACACATAAGACTACAACGTTGTAATCTAATTAAATACAAGCGGAAAACAAATTTTAAAATGTCAAAGATTAGACAGAACGAAGAAACATAACTCTTACGATCGTACTAGAAATAGATGAACGATCGGAAATTTATTTTGTTCGCGTGTTGACAACTCTCTGTCAACTCGTAATTCTCCGACAAAATGCCCAAGAGCGAAACGTTCGACGCGCGTCGTTTTAATCTGTTCAAAGCGTCATACGGAAATTGAACACATGTCATAAACAACCAAATGTAACATTAAGATTACACAAAGTTTTTCCATTGCATTTTACATTGTAGCGGAAGTGTGAAATATCCCGTGCTCGTTCTATTTGGTTATTTTCTTTGGGATCTCTACCAAAGGTAATTAGCACGTTTGAATCTAAATATTTAGATTATCTGATGCAATGTAGACTTAATAGTTCACAAAATACTGTTTCCTCAGTATATTTCTGTATGGATAATATTAATTTCTGAAATATTTGCCATGATTGATTCTTAAAAGTTTTTGAAAACTCGGTTGATGGTAGACAGCAAGTCAAAAACATTGAAAAAGAAATTTGCTCTAAGTTCTAACTAATGCGTTCGTTTTTTTAGCTAGCTAGAGTTTATTTATGAGCTACGACTTTGGGTTCTTCTGGCCAGTAGCCAAGCAGCGAGCTTGTAGACTTTTGTACTTTTAAAACAGCATGCTCCCGACCATCGTACTCATGTTTCTCGCTGTACATTCTCACGCAAATGCATATTGTGCATTGGCATGTCTTTTTATCAAAAAGCCAAATGAGTTTAATTAAACTTCTAATTTGTGTGTAATAGCCAAGTTAATTTATATGCAGTTTTTAGACCTTCAGCTGTTTTCAGCAAGTTTTCCGGAAATGTTTACAAATAGCTTTTGGGTTTTATTTTTATAAACGGCCTTAATGCTCGATTTTTTCACACGGCGGACAATGCCAAACTATTTCTCCTGTTTTCCTGCTTTGCTTGCGCTGTCACGTCTCGGAAAGTTTGGAAACGCACGAATTCAGACTCTTGGTTTCATTTTTAGAAAAATCGCCGAGCGGCAAGAGCAGGAAGAAGAAGCGACGGTAGTATCGGCGGGAGTCAGTCGCAAAGTTGGCAACATGGAAGTAGCAAACGTGCAGCAAGGCGTCGTCGCCAGCGGCGTTTCCAGACAGGAAGAGTCCGAGAGCAGCGAACAAACCACCTTGTCCGAAGTAAGTGAGCAGCGACCAACTGTCCGCGCGTGCGACGCACTTAAATTATAATAATTTACCATCATGCACTACATGCACCACAAGATCGGCGTGCATTTGATTTGTGAAGCGCGCGTGTAAATGAAACGCGAAATTTCGTCTCCTTTGATGCCGTCGGTCGTGTGTAATTTAGATTAGCAACGGATCATCATGAAGCTTGTCAGGTTGATGTCAAGCCATGATAAACAGCCTCATAAAATCAACCTCTAAGAGCTTATTAATTCGAACGTGAATGTAAATATTGGCGACATGTGTCTTAAACTAAGAACCAACCAAAAAGGAACTGCAAAAAAGGCATGCGAGTAATAGTTAAATTCAATTTGCAGAGCTCCAAGGATTTGGGACACACGAAAATATCGGAGAAGAGTGCCACTTTTGAAGGTACCCACCAGAGTAAAGTGGTTGAACAATCAGAGAATGCTTTCTCTACCTCGGAATCTTCATCAAGCTGTGTCGTCCAGCAGAGCGTCTCGCAATCGGTAAGCTCGAGTAGCAAGGTATTCTCCTCAAAAATATCCAGTTCTCAAAGCTTCTCATCCGAGGAAGTTTCCGAGTACGAAGAGGTGATCGAGGGCTAAACAATACACACGATACGCTACAAAACCTCCTTTTTGTTGATATTGTATGTGATTGTCTCAAATTTCGTTTATTTCGCTCTTTTTTTTGTTAAAACATTTATCTGCAACCCTAATTTCCGTCGTTTGTCAATGTGTTAAATACGTAAATATTGTGTTAAGTAAGGATCCAGTATTTTTGTGATATTTTTGTTCCCTCTTCCATGAACCACAAAGAAAAAGACAATACTTATACGGCAGCTCGCTGAGAGAACATATTTTTACACGAGCAAAAAGTTATATAGAACTGAGAGGTCAGTAAATAAGCGAGGACATTTTTTGAAAGATGGATTTTTTTTTGGTTTCCTTACTGTAAATAATACAAATATGAGTAAAGCGTATTAGCAATTTATAGTTGAAAAATAATAAAGAATTCAATCCGTTACAGTGTGTTGTTATTATGATAAACAAACAAGCAGACAAACCGAGCTTCAAAGTGACTAATTCATGCGCTTTATTGCGCTCAGTTCTATATAGCTTCTAAAATATTAACAGCAAACACATACCTAACATTCGTGAATCAGCGATTTGAAGCTCCTGGTTTAGCTGCTGTTGTTTAACATCTACCTCAACTCCAATTTCTCCTTAGTTTTTCCTTCAAGTATAATTCGACGAAGTGAAAACTTAAAAGTTTTTTGTTAGGAATCTTCATCCACTGCTTTACCATCGGATACTCAACTTTCTTCAATTGAGGAGGCGCCACCAATGGCGGAAGTACCAAAATCAACTGCTTCTAAACCTTTTGAACCATTGAAGCCTTTCGAACCTCTACGCTCGTTTGAACTTGCAAAACAAATCAACGAAAGCGTACAGAAAACAGAATCCTTGGTTCAAGAATCCAACACTTCTACAACCACTTCTTCTTCTACATCTGCTTCTTCATCTACATTAATTTCACAATCACAATCACAATCTACATCGACCTCTTCATCAATTCAAGCTACATCATCAAGCACAAAAGGTTTCTCAATACCGTTACTTCCAGTCGACTCTTTGAAGAAAGTCGATCTGCCAGTTGAGATCTCATCAAGTTTACCCGAACCTGCTCCGAGTACACAACTGGTAGAAAATTTGGAAGAACCACCTTCACCACCAATTCCTTGGCTTGTCAAATGTGAACCTGAACCACTCTACGATGCTGCCACTAATGGTCTATTAGTGGAACCAGCAATCGCGAATGTAAGTTCGTCTCAAAATGGAAATATTAATATGGAAGAAAAGAAAGAAGAATACGTGTTCAAACCGCTAGCGAAACCTTCAGATTTTATTAAGAATTTAGCAAATCAGAAGCCTAGTGAAATTAAAGAAGAGAAAATAAAGAATACTTTAAAGGAAATTATTTCGGATTTAGACAATTATGCTGAGAAGGATACCGAATTGAAAGACGATTGTAAATTGAATGGCAATCAAAATGGAAATGAAGAATCAAACTTTTCTGTTAATCCTTTGCAATCATCTGTAAGTATGATAGATATTTATATTTTTTAAGCATGGTGAAAATTTCTTTATTTCGAACAAAATTTCTTTATATTTCGTGCGTGAGAAAAATCAAGAACATAAAATGCTTATTGTTTGTTCTGTTAATGTTTGTATATCGATGTTGCATGTGAAAACTGAATGTTTATAGAAAAGCGTGAAAACGTCACGTCCGTATGAAGAAATACTCATGGTTCATTTGCCTTCCTGTATTGAGACTAAGGATCGGCAAAATAAACTGCAGGTATACTAAGAAAAAACATCATCAAACTTCTTACTAGGAACATAGTTATTTTTTAATTCTGATTATTACTATTTTATTGATTTTAAAACATTTTGTGATTTGTAGGTAATTCAAGAACTGAATCAATTAAATAAGGATAAAGCAAATGATGAATCGGTGAGTATCAGTACTAAAATTAGAAGCACATGTTTGCCTTAATGCTTCTGGATGAAAGATTTTCATGTGTGTATACAGAGTTTTTTAAATTTAATATCGATAATGCATCTTGCACTGCAATGCACTTTATTAATGCGTCGACGGCAGAACGGCTTGCGTGTTTCAACGAACACACTCATAGTTTTCGTTTTCGTAAATCAATGCAAGCACATTTCGAAAGAACGGTGCAAAAATAACCTGGCGGTGGGGATTATTGCAGAACAACTGGCGGAGAGATTTTTCATCGTTGTCAAAATAATGTAAACGCCTTAATGCTCGCTGTGCGTTAACGAACTGAACATTACACATATTCGAAAATCATTAAACATTCACTGTTTATGACTTTCCGCTATTAAAAGTAAATGTAAGCAAATTTGATGCTTACGTATTGTATCTTTAACATTTTACATACAATTTTCGCAAAGAGTTAATAACTCGACATTAAATCTATTTGCAATGTGATATCTAACAAGATATCCACGAACTGCTTGTTGGCACTGAATTCTGAATTGAGTATAGGCCGTGAAATAGGGCCAATGTTGGTAGAAAGAATTCAGGCGCCACAATTAAACACCAAGAGAGTTTAATTAAAGCACAAGTCGAGTAATTCGACACTGATCGAGAAGAAAATTCGTCGTCATCGGGGCACAATTGCGCTTATTCACGCAGACTTTTTGCACAAACACGGGTGGCGTGTTACTAGCATGGATATTCCGAAATAAACTTAAATTACAACATGCTTTAAACAAACATGCACGTTGAAAGAAAGCTTGAAGCATGGAGCGCGCGATCGGTACGAATCGTATCACACGAAAATTGGAAAACGGCCAGATGGATGCCAAAACGGTTCGGCCGTCGAGCAAATTATTTCTAGGCTTGTATTTTGTTAAAACGCAAGCCGCTCGCCAAACAATCCCGAAATCAAAAACCACTTCAGAACTCTGCTTATCAATCCGCAGTGGAAATTCAATTTAGTTTTATTGCGTTCAGTGATCTGTTTCAAGTGCCACAAAAGAAATAATAATAATCAAAACACAGGATAACTATAAGAAGCTTTAAAAATATTAAGTGAAAACAAATAAATACAACTCGATGTTAAAGTAAAAGGAGAATTAATCAAAGTTTATGTGCTATTGGTAGTAAAATAATAAGCAAACAGTGTCTGCAATAAAGTGTGTCAGGACTTCACATAAAATAGTTTCTGTGTCAGTTGATCTAATTTCGAGTCTGAATAGCACAATTGCCCTCATTTAACTTAAAAGTGCGCGGATTTGAAACAAACCCAGCAAAATGCGGCCGATACCTAGAAATGATAACTACTCGATGGGGAAGAGCAGTTCTTTTTCATACAAAAAGTCACAAAACATGACGAGTATGAGCAGCATGACCAGCTCGAGTTCGGTACAAAGATATACGAAACAAATAAGTGCATCACCAGCGCATTGGCCGTCGCAATCGAGCAACTATAGTCTTCAGAAATCACACAGTGTTAACGAACTGATTGAAAGCAATCGCGGATTTAAACCTTCCGATCGTAACGATCCTAATAAACGACAATTTCTGCAAGATTTGACGCAGCGAGTGTTTAAAATTGGTTTGGTAAGTTGCGTTGTAACAGAAAATATAATTCAAGGATAATAAAATGAGTTATTTTCATTTTACATGCGTGATTTGATGTTTTACATGATAAAATGTAAGGAATCATTGCCGAAGAAGTCTGACAGCTTCACTTTTAATTTAAGCAAAGTGTGCTGTGCTGTTTCAAATAGAAAATCGCGTGGGCGTTGAGATTTTGTAATGTGGATTTCGTCTGGTCTGGCCGGCTTGCCAAAAACGTCATACTGAAACATATCTTATGACGTCATTAAATATTAAACCGATTATCAAATAAGTCCGAACAGCTGAAGAGTTTTTAAAAGACTTGTTGTGTGATTTTTAACATTTTCGCTGAAAATTTATATCTCGCAAAGTATGAGTAATTTGGCGAGAAAACAAAGCATTACTCATAGCTTAGAATAACAACATGTATGGTTTGAATGTAGCGCCAAGTAGAATTAAATTAACGCGCAGATTTGATTATTATTACACGTCGAACACAACATGTGTTAGAAAGTATTTTCTTTCAGCCTGATTTGCGCGTCTAGGTTCCGAACGCGAAAATCAAACACTCGACGAAAATCAAAACCATAACAAGCAACTAAAAATAAAATTGGGAAAGTTATTAGTATAAAGACGTAGTTTCGGATGGGATAAAATCCGCATTTGCGCCGCCTTATGCTTTCCGCTCTCGTACACAGCCCACCCAAAAGCAATAAAAGCGTATAACAGAATTTTCTGTTAGTATCTGTTCCGGTTTTGTTTTGGACGGGTCCCCCGACGCTTTTCGCCTCCCAATCAATCGCCTCCTAATATACACACACACCACACGCGCATTTATAAAAGATGTTTCTCGGCGCTGAAATTTGTGAGATGATCGGCGGGCTGAAAAAAACGAGTGAAAAGCGTGTGCGATTTGAAGTGATGCCAATTGCGATTATGAATCGTGTCGCTTTAATTAATTCAAGTTTGTTTTCAGGACGAAAACGCGCCGCCTAATAAACCACCAATTAGTTTGGAGAAAATATTCACGCCTGCTCAAGATGCGCCTCAAATTAAACCCAAGTCAAGTAAATTTTGCCAACAAAAAGTTTAAATTTACTTAAAATTGAATTAATTTATTACTGTATTTTTAGAGAAAATGTATGCGTCGTCAGATTTCTATGCTTCCGGCTTACATCCAACTGTTGAAGACCAAGTTGAATTGGCACGGCGTATTTCTAGTTCCTTGAGTGATATTAGCAATCAGGCGAGCAAAGGACAATCGATGTACGTCAATAGAAAGAAGCGATCGGTGAAATGGGTGCACGAAAGCGAAGGTAATTATGAATCATCAGTTGATGTTCTTCTATTAATAGCTACCCGAAGGGATTTTTACTACTTGTTTTTGAAATCGTAAATTTGTTTGCCGCGTTGATAATCGTAGCTTGTTGTGGTAATTACAAGACTGTTTTTACCGTCCAGTCACAAGCATTGAAAACTGAACGAGAGACTTAGTTAAAGTAATAGGTTTAGGAGTCAGGAAGTGAAAAATCAGTTGTTATAGGGTACGATCTTGGCGTGTTGCCAGTCTATCGACGACTTACATAACGGTTGCTGTCATCTTCTTTACACGCTACACACAAATCTCACTCAACTTCCGAGAACATAAAAAATGTTTTCGCTAGAAAATCGCTATAAATCTATTTGTAAGATTTTTATTTCTGATTTTTTTCTAACTAGGAAATGTTATCAATGGTCAGAATGGATCCATCTCAGAAACTAGAAACGAACACGAATCAAAGTCGATTTTGAAATTGGTGATGAACCCACATGGACAAGTTCAGGATATCAATTCGTTGAAAAAGCAAGGTCTTCAGTTTGAATCCGCTTTATCTCCGGATGTTTGCGCTGAAATCGTGAAAGATTTGAATTCACCCAAAGGAAAAGGTAATGTAGTTCATTTCGGAAATAATTTTTGTGTTTTACGCGATTATTTTTCACTAGGGGCTGAATTATTTGCCAAGAGACGTAAACGTTCGGAAAAATGGGTGGTTGGTGAAACAACCGGTGTGAAATCGGAGACATTAAACGACATTGCTTCGACTCCCGTCCCCATTCTCTCTCCTCTTCCGCCATTGACACCTAGCAATCTACCGGCACCAAGTTACCTTCCGGAAACACAGCAACGCATGCAACATAAAGAAAAATTGGATTCAATTCAGGTAATATACTATTGATGTTGCATTTAATTCGCAATCATTGAATGCACTCGTTCTGGTTCATCAAGTTGTGTTAGTTCGCTTGTGGCGAGTGCCAAGTATGCTTTTTATATATCGACCACATCGGTTCGCTGCCAATTAATCCGCATTCCGGCAACAACAATAAGTACAGTACATCACTGACGATTGTAATTAACGCTCGCTCAATTTCTTCTCTGCAGGAGCGTTTCATAAGACCAAAGTTGAAGCTGATAAAGTCTCCTTGGGAAGCGGCGCTTGAAACCGGCTCGGTTGAATCGGCTTTTCAAGACGTGGCGCCGCCATCGTTTCCTTCCAAAGGTAATTTTGTTGCTCCGGCCGTCAATTCGTACGAGGAAGCGTTGCAGAACGATACCCTGCCTTCGTGGACAATGCCCGCGAATGGCTACGGCCCCAGCGCCGCCAATAATAAAGTTTACGCACACAATCCAGCGTACAACAGCAATAGCATAAATAGGATCGTTGATAATCTCCAAAAAGGTTTGTCGAATGTGGACATATACAAACCAACACTCCCACAGGCATGGAACGCACAGCCAGTTTTAAAGACGCAACAATATAGTGAGTATTTACTTTGATTTGTGCTTCAATTCCAATCGCTTTTTCGCTTTCTTACGACGCTTTTTAGGTAGCGTTTGGCTTCCCGCTGATATGCAACCTTCTCCTAGTACTGAACAAAGACCCACTTCACCTTTTCCTGCTATTCCGGATGTTTCTCAAACGCCCGAATGCTTAGTAGGTACCCCGATTGATCCAAAAATTAGTAGGCCGGTATCACCAGGTCCATCCAATTTAGAACACATGTTGTCAACCATGGAATCTGCACCAAAGGAAAAGTCACCGGTTACTTTTCCAACAATACCCGACGTAGTTTGTCAGGAGGATTTAACTGATTCGTTCCATCAAACTGATGCGGTACCTCCAATGAGAGCAACATCACCGTTTCCAAATATTCCTGATGTCAAGTTGAACCCGGATGTTCTTATCAAAGATATTGTAAAAATCCGCACTAGTCCAGTGCCATTCTTCAAAGCTAAAAGTCCAATCCCTCAAGATGTGGAGCAAAAACCAAGAATTGAACCAAAATTGGAACCAGTTTCTATTCCGTCATTACCGGCTGAAGCAGCGGTTCCAGAACAGTTAAATACTATAAGCACTTTCCAACAATCAGTGCTGTCACAACCGAGCAAACCAACTTTTTATAAAGCAAGTAAACCTTATGCTCCCGTGAAGTTGGATAAGAAATATCCTTCCGTTTTGGATGAACCAATACCGAGAGGATCACCGCCGCCTGAAAAACCTGAATTTAATTTTGCGATTGGTGATTTACCGGCGGAACGTTCACTGAAAACACCAGTGCGTACTTTACAGAGTGAAATTTTTGAAAGTCAAGGACATTATAATGCTAGTAGGTCTGCTTCACCGTTTCCAGTGTTTATCCCACTGGAAAATGTACCAGAACCTGAGATTGTTCAAAAAGAGGAAGTTCAAGCACCACCCGAGCCTGAACCAGAGCCGGAATCTGAGCCAGTCGTTGTTGATTTGAAGAAATTAGCAATTTCTGATACACAGACGAAAAAACTGGTGGAGTCACAGAAAGATTGTTTCAAAGAAATGAAAGAAATTAAAGAAGCTTACAAAGAGATCACGCCAACATATAAAGAGTATTGCAACAAAGTCAGTGAATCTATGAAACCAAAAGTTGTTAAAACATCTCAGTTGAGTGAAGATAATGAAGTTAGGAAGAAACTTGAAGAAATGAAGAAGGTACGCGCTGGTGTTAATCTAGGTCCTGTACCAACTGAACCAGTTGAAAAACCAGTTGAAGAAAATGTCTGCAATAAAGAAGAAGATACAACACCTAAACCACTTCCATCTCTTGACGAAGATATTATACCAAAGATGAAACCCGTAGAAGTGAAAAAAGAGGAACCAATTAAAACGGAAGCAAAAACTGCACCACCACATGAAGATAAACCAAAACCAAAACGCCCAGTATATCACGATGAAGTAGAAGCACCTAAATGTAAGAAGGCACCGGAAACTATTATTGGAGCGAGGCCGCTTTTTGGTCAACTAGATATTAACTCTGAATTCAAGAAAGCAATTGGTAATCGTGCGTCATTTAAACAAAAACGCGCATTAGAAGAAGCAATGGACAAACAACAAGAACTTGGACAATCGGAGATTAAAGTTGAGAGGTCAGAGACCTACAACCAACAACAAACATTCAGCGAGCCATACAAAGAGTCTACTTTTAAGAAGAAATCTAAGAATAATGAAATTGCTGAGGTGAAAACCATTTCTAAAACCGCCAGCGATGAAATCGAACAAATCTATTACCAACAAGACAGGGAAATTGAAATTGATTACCAGACCGTTCAAGAAGAAATAATAATGCCTGAACCAACATTAGAGCGTGTTCTTAGTTACGAAAGGCCTTTGACACCGGTACAAATGCAATATTTTGGTCCTGGTAACAATACTACCATTTATAGACCACAAGCACAAATGCCACCCGCTCCAGCTCCCGCAGCACCTCACGAACCAGTCATAATCGTTCACGAAGACAACAGTAATGAAACAGAAGAAGATGAATACAGGAAAATACCAGTCAAAAGTCTCATTCAAAACTTTGAGCAAAATGTTATGCCGCCTCTGCGTTACAAACAAATTCGCGGAGAACCATTACCAGACGTGGTAGACAGGGCAGTTCAACCAGGACTCACGCCAAGAAACTCGATTGATTTCTCCAATACAAACGTTGATTTGAGCCAATTGAGTGAAACGCAATTCATCCAGGAACAGATATTGAAAGAAGCCGAAAAGGAATTCGACAATTTGTTTTTCGTCGCCAATACGGCGACTGTGCAAACCAAGCTGTTTTCGGAACAGCAGCATCAACAGGGATTTCAACATGCCGAAAATAGCTCATTTTGTGCATACGATAGCTCTGCCTCGTCATCCATGCAACATCAATCCGCTTACGCTTCTCATGCTTCTGATTATCTCAACGTGCAAGGTGCTTATTCATCAAACAATGAATTGCATTCCGCAGCATTGTTTTATTGCATGAGATTTGCATTTTTTTCAAAACTAGTGTTTTTGCAAATCTCTATGAATAAAGCATGCTGACCCTGTACAAACAAAAACCTCCAACATGTAAATAGATTACATCAACACCCGCTTTTCTGCATCAACCTATTTGATTGAATATAATAACAAATTGACACAGAATCTTGAAGATTATGTTCTGTACTGTTATAATGATATAGTAATCAATTATTTTGTTCATTTAGATTCTTCAACGTTGCCACGCACTAAACCAACATCAGTTCCTCAACAAACGGCCGCAATGCCACCATTATCGCCCGTGCCGAGCTTCAAACCTGCAACCCCAGCACCAGTCTTCGTACCCAAGGAATCTAATGCTCCATTGTCGCCAATGTACCAATCATATGCACCGCCACCAAAGGAAAATATCCCACCGATGCAAACACAATCCTATCAAGCAACTCCTCCATTGCCACCAGTCCGGGTGAACTTCAACAATTTGCAGAATTACAATACTGCTGCACGTGGCTGGGGCGACCTCAAGCAGGTTTACAAACCAGTCACATTCGACAAACCAAAGTCGCCATATTCAGATTTTTAAGGCTTTGGAATTAGTTTTCTTACTACGATTACTTTGAATTATCTCCACTGAATCACTTCAATGGTGATTGAAGTGCTGAGATATTTTACATTTTATTATATCTTCTAAGATGTTGATTGTAAATATTTAAAACGTAATGAGATATATCCTATTTATTGTTATACATGATTTAATTATGTTTTGTGAGCGTGCATATAGTTTTGATGTTGTATCGTAAATTATTATTGGTAATTAATTAGTGGGTCTAGCCATATATTAAATTCTGAATGAAATTTTAAAAAGCGAAATACTATTACTATAAGTTTGAAGTTATTCAATTGTTAAATTTATTATTTAGCATACCTTTAAATGTAGCTTACGATTCATGTTATGAAGTTAAAAATAAAACATAAAGTACCAAAATTGTTTGTAGATCTTATGAGTACATATCGGTCAGAAGATGATCAATGTAGCAGGGCACATATTGCTCACAGTTGGCACTATTCATAAATACATCAACCGTCTGGTTCAGAACCGAATTCGTGTACAGTGTTTTGAGCATTTGTGATACAGGCATGAATGGTGTAGTACCCAACTTTCCACTTCCTCTGGGTTTATTTGCCTCTGCCATGTTTACATACCTACACGGCTGGAATTCTGGATATTTGTCAAAACATCCAGCATGACTACCACCTTGCTGTAATTATTAATAAGGTAATGTTTTATAAATGAAAGGAATTGTTTAAAAAATACTGATTTTGCTGGTCCATTCGGTATCCAGCTAGTCTCATTCTTTTTTTTGTTTTGATTAGCTTCTTCTCTATCTAAATAGAGCCCATGTTTTGGTACTGAATCTTCTGCAAACGGACTTTTCTTATCAAAATAAGGCTGAGGATAAATATGATTAAGAAAGGGTCCGTTTAACATGCGTCCAGAACTCTTGTAACGTAGTTTAAGCCCGTAAGGATCAGGCCTAAAATTCAAATAGTACAATTCCCCGGAAAATGGAGAAAAACAGAAAACTCGTACAAATGCGTGGGATATTTATCAATTCCCGAGTCTGCATAGCCAGGTCCGCCAATTTTTCCACACCTCCATAAAAAGTTAGCAGGTTCACGTTTGTATTTACGTACACGGCGTTTGGGACTAAATGCTGGAGTATGTTTTGTAAACGTGCCGTAGTTGTCACCAGGCGTGCTATGTTTTTTCGGCACGGAATTAACTATAAAAGGATCTTGTGATTCTCCCTTAGAGACTCTAAAATTAATCATTACAACAACGTGACATTGTAGGATATAAAAATACACTTTTTCTTTCGAACTATAGCTTCTCCTGTATACAAACGATTGAAAGTATCTTCAAAATAGCCATGTTGTGTGCCATTCTTTGTCTTTCTACCAGAAGTTACAAAATTAGTACCCTTTAAGTAATTTGGTTCTGGAATATTTCACATTTAAGTTGTAATCCATCAAAAATATTAATTAAATTACTTCCATAAAGTGGTTTATATCCTTTGCCATTCATGTAGTCCATTTCCGAAAATAACCCCAGCCGCTCAATATCGGGCTTCCCAAAACGATGTCCATAAGATGTACTCATTTTTCCTGATTAAACTAAACCAAAACCGCTAATAAATGTTGGCAAAAATAATTTATTACAATAAACACTGATATAAAAAAATAAATGTTCACTTTGACATTTAGAAGTATTCCAGACACAACACATCAAAGAAAATGACAGGGATTTAAATTAATCAGTTGATTTGAAATGATTAGTGTCAATAGTAGAGTAGATATGTCCTTCCTGTTGAAGAAACTCAATGGCTTTACTGTAAACATGAAGTGTTGCCATCAAGGTATTGTTTTAAGAAATAAACATTGTTGTTAATACATACTGTACTTGAGGATGTTGACCTTGTGGAAAGTTGCTAAGCAGTGCATTTAAATGCATTCCATTCATTGAATTATTAGTCTTGAAAATGTTATGCACTTTCAACTGAATTGGAGTGAAGCTGCCACCTTGATTATTATCATCATACATTAGACTCATTGTGTTGGCCAAAGCAGCACCAGGATTATTCACTGTCTTGTTCATATTCTAACAAATAAATACATAAAATACAACAAATGACTTCTAATATTTTTGTAACTTGTGCTTGTACTTACACTTCCTGCACCAATCATCTTTTCAGCAGAATACCTAGCATGAATAAATTCCAACAAGTGAGTGGTGATCACATTAAGATCTTCCACAGGCACCATTTTCAATACAAGCAATGTCTTTTCACCATCATTGACCCTGACAGACCCAAACACTTTAAGATACCTACCTTCTTTTACCTGTGGCAGATTGCTCACAGTTTCAGACTGCAAGAATTAAGTCATACATTGATTAATTTTTATACTTATCTACTCAATTGCTTGGATATTAATTCACTTACAGCATCCGAATCCAACCATAAGACAGCTGTAATTGTACCAGTATTATCTTCAATAGTGTAAGTAGCTTTAATTGTAGACACATTATACTCTCTCAAAATGCCAACAACTGATACCTAAACAAATAAATTGTATCTGTTTGTACCCTGCACAATATCTCTAATGCTTACTATCTGTGCCTTCATCCCAAAGAGTGCAAATTCATCATTTGCACTACTTTTCAACTGTCGAATGCAAACTGGTACTACACTTTGCATTCTGTTTTGATTGCCACCCTGTACAAAAAGTTAACATGCAATATTATGCAATATAGTTGCTCTAGTAGACATAATAATTACTTTAGCTTTAGAGGGAGTTCCAGTGTTGTTTCCATTGTAGAAGCCTGCACTCACTGGATAACAACAATTGAGAGGTTTCAATAGTATATTTTAAGAATTGGAAATATAGGCACTTACTTGAACTGTCGTGAAACATGTTGAAGGTTTTATTATTGCTGAGTTCTTCTTGGAGGAAAATTAACGTACTTCAGGTGGCAAAACCGGTAGTAACAGACAATTAAATTAACAAAAAACGCTCAATTCCAAACGCGAGATTCGGATGTTGAATTTTAACCTGCACTTCTAGAAGTGGCGCGAAACTAATCTTCATTTTGAGATACTCCGATAGAGGCCTCTCATTGTCTTATTTTTATTAGTTTTTGATTATTACATTTGAATTATCCTCAATAACTATACTACAAAACGCTATAATTTGCATATAATATAAAATAATTATGTATACAAAGGTATGCATTACATAAAACCATATTTACATTTTGTTAATGCGAAAATATAACAATGCCAGTATAAATCACTGGTATAAACTTATGTTTATTTGTAGAGCAACTGATTATAATATAAATAATGTCCTCATTTAACAATAATGGAGTCATCAAAGCGCGGGGATGAAGCCTCCAAGGCGTCCCTAGTATTGGGATCAAATTATATATCAAATTAACATTACTTTTGAGTTTTATTACATAAAACCATCAATCATGAAGTCTTTTTTGGTTTAAAAAATTGCGCAATAATCATTGTTTATAAATGTTAGAAATCGCTATTGCCTTAATATCCTCATTAATCACACACTATTCTAATTAAAACACTGCATTTCCTCTATTGATATGCGAGTAATCGCACGTCACATCCTAAAAATTTCCAAGCAGTAAAATTTATGAAATAAATCAATAACATAATTTATTATTACTATCTGCGTATGATATAGCCATTCGAATCGCCTGTCATTGCCACATAAACCACATTAAACGTTTCGATATACGTATTATATATTATCATGTTAATTTATGAAAGAATTGATAAGGATACGACATTACGATTCGTTTATTATACACATACCTACCAATAAAATAAAGAAACTTTCCAATTATTTGCTTTGTTTTATCTGACATATCATTGATTAAGGGTTGCCTCATACAGAGCTATGTGTTACGCATGAGACAAAAAAAGAATGGCGCTTTTGCATGTTACTGCATGATTTATGAGTTACGAGTTGCGAAGATAGCACAAAGGTAAAGGGAGAACTCATAGTGCGTCAGTGATTATTCACACCTCGAGCTTCACAACGCGCAGTGTCTGATGTTAAACTATAATTAACTTATATTAAACAATATACAAGTAAAGTAGAACGTAAAAATGAGCAAGTACAATAATGTGAATTTTCATAAAGTGACGGCGTCTACAGATCAAGATTTTATAGAGAAGAAATTAATTGACGACAATGAAAAACTAAATTTCAACTATAAGCAGGTAAAAATTTAACATTTATAAAAAGTATTACATTTTATTAACACTCCACTAATTTATTATTATAGTTTTTGGGATTAATGTTAGGATTAACACATTATATAATTGCTGGCATTACTTCCGGCTACGCATCTGTATTTATAGTTCAAGCAAGCGACACAGAAGGTTTAAAAATAACAAAATCTGAAGCATCATGGATAGGTAAATATAACACACAAAAAATTGTTCATGATTTTACTATATTATATTACCCATTCACAGCTTCAATTGTTGTGGTACCCATGGCACCAGCTGGTTTACTTTGCGGTTTCCTTCTGAACAAAATAAGAAAGAAAACCGTTTTAATAATTATCACTTTATTCGAAATACTTGCATGGGTAATAATGTACGGCAGTACATCTGTTACTGGTATACTTATTGGACGTGCCCTTTCCGGAATAGCAAGTGCAATGGGATCACCAATTATTCCTCCGTACTTGGCGGAAATTTCACATCCAAACATGCGTGGATTGTACCTTTGTATGGTACTTTTAGGAATATCCTTAGGTCTGTTGGTAATTCATGTATTGGGAGCGTTTTTCACTTGGAACATGTGTGCATTAATAACTGCATTGATTCTTGTGGTATATTTCTGTTTAGTGCTCTATTTGAATGAGACATATGCCTGGTACCTGCGGAATGATAACATAGAAGAGACCAAAAAAGCTTTTTGTTGGTACAGAGGTAAAAGTGCATGCTCTATGCTGGAGTTAGAAAAGTTGCTTGCAAAACGTCACGAAAACGCTAGTAATAATTACACTAAAAAGCAAATATTACATTTGTGTTTAAGTAAATTGTTATTAATGCCATTAGCTATCTCAACAGTAGGAATGCTTACCATGCATCTTTCAGGCATGAAACCAATTATGTTCTACTCAATCAGTATTGTCAGTCAGGTCATTCCGTCATTGGATCAGTACACATCAACGATAGTTGTAGATATTATTCGTATCTTTATGACTTGTGTTGGTTGCGTATTAATTAATAAGTTTCCTGTTCGTCCATTGTTTATTATTAGTGGAATTGGAAGCGCCATATCACATTTTTGTTTTGCTGCATTCTTTTCATACACCGTAAATAGTGTAGATCAAACGTATCCAATTCTTGCGCTGATAGCATTGATAAGTTACACAGCTTTTTCGTCGATTGGTATTGCTCCGTTGGCGTGGATTATAGCAGGTGAAATTTTTCCGTTTATTTTGAAAGGTATTGCGTCGGGCATGTGTTGTTTCGTGTATTTCTTTTCATTTTTTATTATTGTGAAAATCACGCCTGAAATGTTTGATGCTTTCGGCATTGCCGGAGGTTTTGTGATATTTGGAGGTTGTACACTTTTGGGCACAATTACGATGTATTTTATTTTGCCGGAAACAAAGAACAAAACGTTAAAAGAAATTGAGGACTTGTTCAGATAGTATTATGGCAAACGTCAAAAATAATCGCAATGCACACTACCTAGTTGCCATACTTTTAACATAGTTTTTTAAAATGTATTAAAACATTTAATTTATAATCATTATCTGTTTCAATTCTATACCTAGTCAAACTTTGTAATTGCGGATATGATAAGTATACAGAATGTCACATTCCTAGTTTTAGGAATGCGGCAGACATTACCTATTTATATAGGTACATAGTATTGTGATAAAACAACAAGCTCTTTGTTTTGCTGATAATTGAATTTATAAATGTTAATTTTAAATTGAGCTTGATGTCAAAGCCAATGTAATTAAATATTTAAAAATATTTTATTTATCTTTGCATGTAGCATCTAAAATCATTTCTTTTCTTCAAAATTTTGTGTTGTAAGTACCTGTATATTTGCCTAACTTACAATTAAATCGACTTTTATCTTTTAAAAATATTTACGTACAACAATGTCTTTAGAGGAGATATCCCAAATTTTTAGTTTTTAGTTAGATTTTCAATTTTGTATAAATTCAATACATTTAGCTTAAAACCAAAGTTATCTAAAATAATTTCAGCCAATATGCATCTTTCAGGCAACAAAGCTATCATGTTCCACTCTATAAATATCGTCTGTCAAATCATTCCATCATTGAATCAGTATACTTCTACAATACTTGTCGATGTAGTTCGTGTATTCATGACTGGTGTTGGTTGCGTATTAATCAATAAGTTTCCTGTTCGTCCATTGTTTATAATTAGTGGTATTGGAAGCGCAGTATCACATTTTTGTTTTGCACTAGTTTTTTCATACACTACTAATTCATCAAACAAAATATATTCTATTTTAGCCTTGATTGCCTTGATAAGTTACACTATCTTTTCATCGATTGGTATTGCTCCGTTAGCATGGGTAATTGCTGGCGAATTATTTCCCTTAATTTTGAGAGGTATTGCATCAGGTATATTTTGTTGCGCATTCTTTTTTACATTTTTTATTGTTGTAAAAACTACACCCGAATTATTTGATTGCTTGGGCATATCTGGTGGTTTCTTATTTTTTGGTTGTTGTACTTTATTCGGTACTATTTTGATGTATTTTATTCTGCCGGAAACTAAAGACAAAACATTGAAAGAAATTGAAGACTTATTTAAGTAGTGTCGCAATACTTTCATTAATTTTAGCTTAAAGTTGTTTGGAATTAAGAATAAATGTTACAATAATATTGACTTAAGATTGCGCATCCAGTTTATAAATTTGAATTCGAAACATGTGGAGTTATGCTTCAATTAAATGGCTAATTGAGAGATAAGATTGTGAATTGAATTAATTATTTCACATACTGACAGAATCCGGAAATTAACACTAAATATGTCTTAGTGGTCATATTATTTTGATCATAATTACTACTAAAGTAAATGTAAGATGAAATAGAAGCGAAGCTTAATTTTCAATCAATAAATCATTTAAATTTTTAATGCAATTTAATTTGCATACAGTCAGTAATCATGTGTTGACATAGATATTGACAAATATATTATCAAAACATCAATGAATTAATCGATGGTTTCAAATTTATCGTAACACCGTTCAACTCTTTAAAATCAAGTTTCTTGCTAAAAGCAAATTAGTCTATTCTACATGCTGCCTTCAGGATGTCGAATACAAATGTTACAACTCCACCAAGAGACAGTTTTCAGAAAATTGAATATGAAGAACCAATCTTTAACTTCGACTATCAGTACCAAGTTACTGACTCTGTTATTAAATTCAGACAGGTAATACATATATAAAGATAATAATATTCTAATACACGAAATAAAATATAATGTTTTAGATTCTAGCTGCATTACTAGGCTTCTTTCATTGCATTTGCGGTGGGCTGCTTTCAGGTTTTTCGGCTATTCTAATGGCGCAATTTAAAGAAAATCCAAATAGTTTTACTATTTCCGAAGAAGAAGCATCGTGGATTGGTAAATCATAATTTTTACTGAATATTTTATTGAAAGGTTGTTTAATTATTATATGTTTAGCATCAATTGTGGTTATTCCAATGGCACCCTCGTGTTTGGTAGCTGGTTATCTCATCAACAAAATGCCAAAACGTTTATTTGCCAGCCTCTTGGCAATGATTGAAATTGCGGGTTGGTTGATCATTTACTACAACACATCACTAACGGAAATATTAGTAGGAAGATTATTAACTGGTATTGCAAGCGCTGGTGGTGCTCCAATCATACCACAATTTATTGGAGAAACATCACATCCGCAACTAAGAGGATTTTTTCTAACTTCCGTACTTTTGGGACTTTCCGTTGGAATTCTGATAATTCACGTCCTGGGAGCATTGTTTTCATGGAAAACCTGCATCATCATAACAGTTCTAATTCTGTTTATTTATCTTTGTTTGATATTCTATCTGAAAGAACCGTATGGTTGGTATCTGAGAACACACGACCAACCTGCAGCAAAGAAGAGTTTCAGTTGGTATCGAGGAAATAGTCCGGAAGCAAAAAGAGAGATTGCAAAACTTATTTCAAACCAACATGAAAACACCTACGCGAATTATTCGATCAAAGAGATGACTAAGTTGTTCCTGAGTCGATTGCTGCTCATGCCACTTGCAATCAGTGCAACGCTCATGATAACTATGCACTTTTCCGGAAACAAGGCAATCATGTTTTACTCAATCACTATTTTGAGTCAGACTGTGCCGTTGTTGAATCAATATGCATCGACTGTTATCGTTGATGTAATACGAGTCGGAATGACGTTGGTAGGAGCCGTATTGATAAGAAACTTTCGTGTGCGTCCATTGTTGATCATCAGTGGAGTTGGAAGCGCTGCATCGCATTGTTGTTTCGCTTTATTTATATACCAATCAGGTGAAAACCAACATGAAGTGTACTCTATCCTTGCATTGATATCATTGATATCTTATATTGTTTTTTCATCAATTGGTATTGCGTCATTACCGTGGGTAATTTGTGGAGAAATTTTTCCTTTGATCGTTAAAGGAATCGGATGCGGATTCAGCACGTTTGCTTATTTCTTTTCGTTCTTCCTGGTGATTAAACTAAGCCCAAATTTATTTGATGCATTTGGTCTAGCTGGAGGATTTTTATGTTTCGCGTTATTTACTTTCTTGGGAACTGTAATTCTCTATTTTATTCTACCAGAAACAAAAAACAAAACTCTGAAAGAGATCGAGGAAATGTTTCGTGAGCGTCGAAGCACTAAATTTTAATTAATATTTTAAATGCGAATATTGTAATTGTATTAGTAGCTTTTATAAATTATAATAAACAATTTGTCCTTCAAATAACGCATATCAAGGTCGAATCATTGATTTTTTAATTCACCTTTTTACCTTTTATTTTAGGTTGTGATAACTCATCATTTCTGTAGTAAAATTAGCCTAATTATATTGCTCTATTAGAAAAGTACTGTTTTTAAGCAAATTAGTCCGTAGAATAGCCATAAATTTTAAATAAACATCCATGAAATGTGTATGTAGTTGCCTACTTCAAGTTTCAAAATAAGAGGACCAAACCAAAAGCGCGCGCCGTTGGCATTGAAATTAATTGACCCACACAACGTACAATTTACGCGTCCTTGAAATATTCCAGTCTTCCTTGTGTCCCATACTATGTACCAGTTCTTCTGTTATTACTAGACAGTGGTACATTTGGTATATTTACCATAGGTAGATAAACTTTACCGGCAGTTGTAACTTTGCTTTCTGTCGACGCGGCGCATTCTACGTTCGCGTTCCGGTCCCGAGGTGTGCCAACCTGCTAAAGTAAGTAATTATTACATCAACCTTAATTACTATCTAATTGTATAACATCTACATACATTTAATACCTAAATACACACAACGTGCATAAATATTTTACGCACGTATTAATATTAATATCGTTAAAGTCGAGTTGTCGTCCATGCCGGATATTAAATTAAAAATATAAACTACATCAACATCAAGCTATGTATGTGTTTAATTATATTAACATCATACACTCGCGTGATGTAGTGATGAGTCATATCTCTAGAGTATTAAGTGACTAAAATATGAACATTCCATTATTGTCTGCTTTAGTTTTCTCCACACTTACAGATAAGCAGTTTGTTTGTAACTCGGTGTATTTTTTGCAGATACTCGTACAGTTATTCTACGCCTTAAAATGGTTTTCTTTGTGAGTGTAAATATACTAAAAACAGAGTTTGATTGTTTTTATAATGTATTATATATTGTAGAAGAATCCAACCGTGTATCCTCATGAAGGATTCAACGCACAGGAAGACGGGGACGCATTGCGCGCCGCTATGAAAGGATTCGGTACCGATGAGGATACCATTATCGAAATCTTGTGTTCTCGTTCGAACGCACAACGGCAAAAAATTGCGGCATACTTTGCCGATGAATTGGGACGGGTAAGAGCTATTTCTTCTCGTTTTATTAACGTGTTATAGTATGGCTGGATCAATAGAAAGAAGGCGCGGGCGTTTTACTATATTGATCAAGTTTGGCCCGGTGCCAGAAAGTCTGTTTTCTCATACATTTACATCAAATTATTTGACGTGTTTACTAACATAAGAACAGCATTATGAGAAAATATTTAAAATGCGAAAATGTTTTATTTCATTTCTTTAGGATTTGATTGATGACCTTAAAGGCGAATTAGGTGGTAATTTCGAAGATGTCATCGTGGCTTTGGTGCGTGACCCTGAGGAGTACCTCTGCAAGCAACTCAACAACGCCATGGAGGGCATGGGCACAGACGAGAAGACACTCATCGAAATTTTGTGTTCAAGACCTGACAACGAAGTGAGGCGATTAGTCGACGCATACGAAGAGAGTAATTATTTAAACCAGTATGTTTTTCGATTGTAAAACCACTTTTTACAGAGTACAACAGACCGCTGGCGGAACAATTGTGCGGTGAGGTGACCGGCGAACTGCGTCGCTTGATGACCTTCATTGTCACGGGAACGCGTGATTCCGGCGATGATGTTGATGCCACGCTTGCTCGAGAACAAGCCGTGCAATTATTCGAGGCCGGCGAAGATCGCTTTGGCACTGACGAGAGTGTGTTCACGAAAATACTTGCAAAGGAAAACTTTAATCACCTCAGTCAGGTGTTTGAAGAATACAAGGACGTCTCGGGTAACACGATTGAACAAGCGTTGAAGAGTGAGGTGGATGGTGACCTCTTGGAAGCAATGCTAGCTATTGTCGAATGTGTTCAGAGCCCACCAGCGTTCTTTGCAAAGAGATTATACAAAGCTGTGCATGGCGCCGGCACTGATGACGAGACTCTGATTAGGATCATCGTCAGTCGTTCTGAAATCGATTTGGGCACTATCAAGGAGGAGTTCGAACGAATCTACGACAAGACACTTGAAAGCTACATTAGGGTCAGTATACGAAGTGTATATTTATTAAATACTTGTTATTTGTCTTGTGTGTTTGTGGTTTTTATATTATCTTATAATTGCCGGTGTTCTTCTGGTTTTCTGTGAAATCAAAAGGACTCCATGGTGGTAAGCATACCAGTGCATTGATGTGGAATGGCTTCGCTATGTGTTTGTGTGTCTTGCTGTTATAAACAATTAATGTTTTCGTTTTCAGCAGGGCGAGACATCTGGCGACTACAAGAAGGCACTGTTGGCGCTAATCAAGTAAACTCTATTAGAAGTAAAAACATAAATGTCCATCCCACATTAAATTCTCAGCGTTTTTGCATCGTATTATCGCCAGGTTATATGCACATATCTTTAAGTTTTGGATATACAATTTGTTAATATTATTAGACTTTTTATTATATTTATTTATAACCATTTGCAATCTTGTTGATGTATTTGTAATCGGTGTATATTTCAAATATATTTAGTATGCAAATAAGTAGAGAATAATCAAATTATTCCATAATAAATCCGTATAAACACAACAACAAAATATATGGGATTTTATATTTTGTATAATATTTAATATTTTACTACATGGAATGTAAAATATCTCGCTGCGTTTGTATTTGTTTGCCAAATCGTTCTGATAACCATATCAGCAGAGTGGGTATTATGATTTCCGTTCCGTGATATCACCAAATCTAAGTCTCATATCATTAGACAAAACTGCCCTGTCGCGTTTGAGTTCTAGTGTAGTTTTTGATCTTGTTTGAAACAAACGTTAAATTGCAACATGTCCGACCAAGAAAATGAAGATCAACAAGATGCACTTAGGTACGTGTGTATTCACACTTTTTATTTATATATTTTATTTACATATTTTATATATTTAACCATAGCTTCAGTTTCCGAAAGCAAAGACCTTCACAACTCCCAGTGCCAAGAAGGCCTGTTACAGTGGAAGATCATGCACCGATCATCATTCCAGCCATTGACGATGATTACTACAAGATGAACCACAAAAATCGAGGCATTGCTTTGATTTTTAATCATTATGAGTTTGTAAAACCTGGCTATCCTGCACGTGAAGGAACGGACAAAGACTGTAAAGAAATAACTAAAACCTTAAAGAAACTGGGATTTGAGATAATTGTTCATAACGATCTTAAGCTCGGTCGAATTGAAGAAGTATTAGATGATGGTAATAGTACCTGTATATTAATTTTTTAAATTTGCTAATGAGTTTTTAAACATTTCTAGTTTCAAGAATGAATCATTCTGAAACGATTGTTTGGTAGTTGTTGTGATGACTCATGGTGATCCAGACATCTTACATGCGCAGGATGAAGCATATTATGCATCAGCTTTGTGGGACCCGTTTACTGGGGACAAATGTCCAACGTTGATTGGAAAACCAAAATTGTTTTTTATCCAGGTATTGTTGTTTCTATCCTAATCTAATCAAGTGTGTCTGTTCATGTTTATTCTATTTTTTATGTAGGCATGCCGTGGTACTGGCACTGACGATGGGGTAGATTGTAACATTCAATTTGATAGCGCTCCCGTGATAAAACCTGTTCAAATTAAAATACCAAAAATGGCTGACTTTATGGTTATGTATGCAACGCCCTTTAGGTATTTGGATTAATATAAATGTTTGCGTTGATTGTTCTGATTGTTTTAAAATTTGGTTGTAGGTAATTACAGTTTCCGAAGTCCGCAGAATGGATCATGGTTTATTCAGTCTTTGTCTCGTGAATTGGGAGAAAGGGCCATGACTGACGACTTAAACATGATACTGACACGTGTTAATCGTAAAATGGCATTAAATTATGCTAGTAATGTACCATCAAGTCGTGATCTACACAATAAGAAGCAAGTGGGACAAATTGTCAGTTCTTTAACTCGTTTGGTTCATTTTAATAGAAGCATTCCTAATATCAGTGAATAATTTCTTATAGTTATTCTTTGTACTTAAAAAATGTTGTCTTAATAACTATATACTAATTTATGCTTCTATATACATATATACCTCTATAGTAATACATAAAATGTTTTCTTTCTTTTCTTAAATTTTCAAATGCGATTATGTAAAGGGTTAAATATATCAATCAGAAAAATTAAATAAAAATGTAAGAAATCGTGATATGCACCACAATTCTTCAAATATTTTAATATTTTCTTATGCTTTATAATTTTTATTCTCATGCACATTCACATAATAATGAAATTTAATTGTCTTTATTCTGGAATGCACCTGTAACGGTAAAAGTATTAATTAAACTATTAGAAAAATTGAATAAATATTAAAATATATTTACGGTTTGCACTCATCCACTGTTGGGTGTTCCGCTTCATTACACTTCTCTCCCTTACCGCAAGTAAGTGTGCCCCCACCAATAATAACGTTTCCGTCCTTACATTCCCAATATTTTTCACATACTTTCTCAATACAACTAAAAAAGAAATAATTAGTAAATTGCACAAATTGAACTTAAATTATACTCACGGTTTACAGGTAGTCGTCAAACTTGTATTGCAGGTTGCATCATTTAAACACTTAAACTCCGATTTGCCAACTTTAAAAGTTTTTTCGTCCACACATGTAAATGCAGTTTTGTCACATACCTGGGTAATGTCAACGCAACTACGGAGAAAATTAATTGTAAATATTATTTTACATTAATATTACAGCAATAAACATTTACTCACGCGCTGCATAGAGATTCTACAACCCTATATTTAGCATTGCAAACAAAACCGTCTTTGCATGAATAATCTACCCCGCCAATATTAACTAATTTCTCGTCACTTTCATTGCACTTGTAGAAGTCTTTGAGGCTATCACACGTTAGCGCTGAAGCCAGGCTACTACAGGCAAGAGCCAATAGAAGTACTGAAAAGAAGCAAACAATAAATAAGTATTTTAAGAAAGGTAAAATCATATTATTAATGTGTCATACCTTTGTAAATCATTTTCGCCGAACTTGAAGTTAACTGATTGGTTGACTGATACCAAATCAGATTACCTCATGCATTTATATAGACCAGCAAAACACTTAGCTGCTGATATCAATCAGTCTCAACAATTATTAATTAGAGGGAGATTAATTTCTGTAAGGTTTCAGTGAGCAATATTGTGAAATCAAAAAACCAAAAAATTTTATAGGTGAAGTGCGTAAATGCAATTAAAACACTGATTAAAAAATATCGGTTTGCGCAAACACTTGAAAATCTGTATTCTACATAATAACAACCTATTTCATTTGGTGTCACTAAAGTTATACTAAATTTTATATATTTAGAACCGTATTATGTGCAATTAATTTATTTTAATCTCAAACCATGCAAATACAAATTAAAAAAAACTGAAAATATAACAAAAATTGATTTAATTTATTGTTCAGGTTCAGCAACGTATTCTTCCAAGTCAGCATCACTGAAAGGAAAGCCACTCAATATGCTTGCAATTTGCGGGATACCAAAACTATTAGTAGACGTGCCAACATCTATTCCAGTCTCTTTCTTTATCCAGCCCAAGTAAGCAGAAACATCAGTAAATACATCAGGTCGTTCTTTGGCACATGGCACTCCAAAAGATACAACACCAATTTGTACGTCGTCCTTAACCAGCGGACCACCAGAATCACCCTAGAATGTATATATTTATTTATATAAGAAAGTAAATTCTTTTAGAAGAAAATGTATAGTATTACCATACAAGCTCCTTGGCCTAGTTTTGTCAAAGTGCAGATTTGCATGTTGGGAAGTACTACAGTTGGTACCAATAGTTTAGTGTTGCATGAAAATGTGTCGATTACTTTTAATTCAGCCATTTGTAAATGGTCCGGAACTGGCACTGTCGTATTTTCAGGGAATGGATATTTTGTCAAACCCCAGCCGGTAAGAACGACACTGTCTCCACTTTTAGGACTAGATGTACTCAACTTAATAGGTTGCACATGGTCATTCATTGAAATCGGTGTTTTTAGTTTTACTAAAGCAATGTCGTTACTGATTGTTTGCTCGATATACTTTTGATGTGGAATCAATTTTTCTATTTCGTAGGAATCCCCACCTTCCTTAAGGGACTTGGACCCGGTAACAATTGTCATGTTGTCTGGTTCTTGCCTGCATGATAAAAAATAGTTGTTTTTTCACAATAAGAACATTTAAGTATGTATATAATCCTTACTTGTAGACACAGTGCGCGGCAGTTAAAACCCAATTTTCATTTAGGATTGACCCGCCACAAAAATGAAAGGTTTTATGCATTCTCATCGAAATTTGATAGGTGTACTTTCCTTCTTCAGCATCAACACCGCCAACAATACGATCATTGCATTTAATGAAATCTAAAAATAAAAATATAAGATTATTACAAAATTTAATTTCCATTTAAATGACAAAACACATAAGAAGTTATCTTACGTGGTGCAATAAATGCAAGAAAACAAAGTACAAGAAATGCCATGTTGACGATGTGAACTCAAATTAAAATTTCATTTTAAATGTTGTTTCTTTTATACGTACATAAAACAAGCTGACAATAATTTAAATGTTATCGGAAACACTTTTGCGCCACGAACAGGAAAAGGTTTCGATTAAGTGCTCCAAATTAAATGGATAATACGTAGTGAAAAGTAATTTATTTAACATCAAACAACATATAAATACGGTGATTTTTACCTAATTGCCATACAATTTACTTATCACTGTCTATAATGTTCGTTCTAATAAAAACAAGGTATTTCAAATGTTTAACTTTATCTTTACGATGAGCTAATTCAAGAGTTATTAAAGTGATTTATGTAAAACAAGAGGAACAAATTACATAATAATTGCAGTATAAAAAGAATAAATTTAATTTTTGATATTAAAAATCAATTGTGCATTAAATTAATTTGTGGAGAAAAGGAGCCAAATAAATAATCAAAATGAATAAGAAAATTGATAAACCAAAGAGGAAATAACAGTAATAATAATAATTTACATAATTAGTAAATAGTTTCATAAATTATGTCAAAAAAGCCAATTATGGCCAGAGGAAATATAATTGCCATGACAACGACAAAGACAAATAAGACATTATTACTATTAGTTATCTCTGTACTCAATTGTTTCGAGTTTTCAAAAACTAGTCCGTAGCTTTTTCTATGCGCTTCACAAAATTCAAAAAAGAGGAAATCTTGGGTTATTTTATGAAATATATAAAATCTTGCAAGTAATTTGCTAAATTCTTTATTATAATTTTAAAACGTCATAAATTCAGTATCATCAACACAAAATCTGACAAGCACACACTCATGTTTATTCTAGCTAATGTAATTCTTTTCCAAGTAGCATTTAGTAAGTGTTGTTCTCAATCCAATCCAAATAAGAATAAACGCGAGTGAACACGTCTGGTTGTCCTTTAGCACAGGGAATACCCCATGATACAACACCAATAAGATGGTTGCCATGAGCCAATGGGCCACCAGAATCACCCTGTCAACAATATCTCATCATATATTAATAAATTCTCAATTTGAACAAAATCAGAATGCATATATATATACATACGTGGCAAGCTCCCTGACCGTATGGACTAACAGTGCAAACATTGGTTTGGTAAATCTGTCTTCCAGAAAAGCGCGAAGCACATTCCTGAGTAGTAATCTGCGTCAGCTGAATCGTTTGCAACTTATTTGGGAGTGATCCCGGATGCTGAAACATACAATCGTTTATTATAGATGTTTGAATACTCTGAGTTAAATTTTGGATTGTTTTAATGTACCGATAGTTTTCCCCAGCCGGAGAGAGTAAGTTGTGTACCAGCAGGCATGTCTTGAGTAGGTAACTCGATGGGTTGCACACGATCGTTGAAAACAATGTCCCTGGTAACGCGAACTAGAGCAATATCATTAACGATGCCTGCAAAGCTGGCGTAGCCTGTATGTGGGATCAATTGTTCCACGTGGTAACCAGTTCCACCACGTGTCAAAGAGTTGGTACCAACTACAACGGTCATTCCATATGGGGTTTGTCTATAAACTTAACAGAGTAATTTACAGTGCTCAAGCAAGAATCCATGTTAATACCCTTGAACACAATGTGCAGCTGTAACAATCCAACGGCTGTTCAAAATTGAACCGCCGCAGAAATGTCTATTGTTGTTTCGTAAAGATATCTGGTAAGGAAAGGCACCTTCAGGAGCTTCATATCCTCCTACAATACGCTCATCATTCACCTTGTAGTCGTCCATGTTCATCACCATGTTGGGATCCATGTGATTCCAGTCATGGCTTGTCTCTCCGCAGGCTACTTTTAATAAATTAATAACTTCTTTACATTTGAAGTAAAATTTTATAATTTATTTACTTACCAATAGTTGCAGCTGCTATTAAAAGAAATAATTTTGTCAAAGACATGGTGTAAAGTCAGCTCTACTTTGGTTGTACTTAATTGTAGACAAGCAGAGTATGATTTATCCGTAACATTTGATGTCTATTTATACTAAAACCATTGTCACAAACCTCGTCATTTTTGGGGATAGATTTAATGTAAAAATCTTATCAGGAAATAAAGGTTGTGACTGGTGAATAAACAGTTTGTTTAGCATTTTTTTCAAATTTACTCCGATAGGTTGGATGAGTTTCGGAAATAAATGAAACGCCATATCTCCAATAACGAGGAGATAAATTACCTTTAAGCACATTTAGGCTTTTATGTTAGTTAAATGTGCGAATAAAAAGCATTTCCTAGAAATAATTTGACGAATATTACTTGCTAATGTTCAAACTACTAAAATTTCGAATATTGACAGAGTAGTACGAACACCGTGAATCATTATATTTCAAAACTTTACATCCAGTGACAAAACTATTTGTTTGTTTATAAACCTTCCTTGTAATTTGAAGATTGAATCAACAATTCGCGACAGAGCAATGGTTGATTATCTTTTAAAACTTCTGCAACCACCTTAAATTTTCCTTTTAATGCAGGTACTTCAGCTTCTTCAGCGGAGATTGAAAAATCTTTTAGTGCGTAGGAACCCTGAAAGTGACATATAATATTTGACATTCTAAATATAAATTGAATAAAAGAGAAATTACTCCTGGTATGGGGCAGTCCGGAGACACACCCGAGGCTTCAGCTATTTTTGCCCAGATACCCTTAAGAGGGCCATTCAAAATTGCACAGACGGGGCCAGTGATGTGAGTTAATAATTTCCATGAATCACCTCCGCTCTTATAAACGTCGGCTTTGTACTAAAAGGAATGGTGCGTAAAATATTATTGTAAATATTCATCACTGATTTTACTGTAATTGTATCGTCTAATCCGGCGGGAAGAGTAATTGTTCCAGAAAATAAACCTTGAGTCCATTCATGAGTGACTTCAATTGCATCTTTAGTAGTAGATTCAGAACAAGGTTGCATACCGTAAAATAACATTTTAGGTTCCTAAAGCGAAGAGAAAATTACATTTTTGTGTTATTACCCAAATGGCCCGAAAAATTTTACAGCTTACCTCACAATTTATTAAAACTACACAAAAAGCGATAGCAACAAGTTCATATAAAATTTCCATTTTGGACTTGCAACGTGAAACTACAGAATTTTTGTATTAAAAAAGTGTATTTATCCCAGGAAATTGAAATATTATCTTTGATATTTTCCATGTTTATATAACTTTACATACATAGATAGTTTCCTGTTGCGTGCGTGCACTAACATGTTTTTAAAAATGTATATCAAACAAAAATGTCATTAAATTGTTAATGCAGCAAAAGCAACTAAGATTTAAATAAAACTAGCTCAGAATAACGTAATTTTTCACTTATACCTAGGATCAAAAAGGCGATTTAAGGCGAATCGTCGTGTACCCAAAAAAAACACCTTCTAGGTATAACTATAATGAAATATAATATAATTAAATTTTAAAATAAACATGAGCAATTTATTATTATTCCATAAACATGTATGCGTATCAGAAATGTTCGACAATATTGAAGAATATTCCAGCATAAGTCATAGCAAATGCGATATTTTAACTAATAAAAATCTTCTTCAAAATTTTTCGATCCACCTTGCTGGTTCTTGATTTGATCCTGATTGGAGTACATATCAGCAACTTGTTGTGCGGATGTTGCTTCTTCAACGGTCTTATCATCCCTAATTCGAATAAAACGAGGAAAACGCAAAGATATTCCCTTTTCCGGATCAACAATGCCCATCCCAGCACGATGCACTGGCGACAATGACAAATCAGCGCATTTAATTTCCCACACCTGCACAGCATCAAACCAATGATCTGGTTCATGCGAGGTGTCATATCTGTAGTAAGACTTGGGTCCATCAATTTTATGATTCTTAAGAAATTCGGTATGTTGCTGCAAGTATTCATCAGTAAACCCAGTACCGATTTTACATATACTCTGGTATTCTTCGTTATCCGCGTCGTAACAAGCAAGCAAAAAGCCGCCGTAGGTTCCAGTGCGTTTACCTTTACCAATGTAACCACCAATTACCACTACATCAAGTGTATCGCCGACACCCTCCAGGTAATCCTTTTTCAATTTTAACCAATTATGTGATCGTTTAGCGATTTCATAAGTCGCATCTTCGTCGAGTGTTTTCACCATCAAACCTTCGCAATTACCTTTAACGCTCTCCTCGAGGAACTCTTGAACTTCTTCCATGGTTTTGGTGTCCATGCTTGTGGCAAAGCACCATTCACCTTCATGTTCTTTAAAATGCTCTTTGAGTAGAGAGCGACGATGAGAAAATGGCTTGCGTACCAAAGGTTCGCCGTTGAGATATAGCAAATCAAACATGAACACACATACTTGAACTTTAATGTCAGCTTCATTTGCGTCCTTGAAAACAACAGAAATTAATATCGCGCAATGTAAATGAAGAAATTAGCTTACTTTACGCTTCCTGGTACTTAAAATTTGGAATGGTAAAATCTGTTTCTTTTCTTTGTCCCAAGCAACTGCCTCACAATCAAGAATGCATGATTTTACTTGATCTGTTTTACAATTGCTTAATCTATTGATGATATCAGGATACTTTGAAGTATTATTTTCCTGATTCCTGCTGTAAATGTTAACATCACCATTCTCATGAATATGAATCTAAAAGTTTTACATTAGTCAGTAAATATATTCATTGTCATAGGTTGCCTATTTACTCCATGAAAACCATGACTATGTTAGAGCTCTAAATATAGAACCGTGTAACGCGTGTTATAAAAGGTTAAATATGGAACACGTGGAAACTAATAACCTACTATTCTCCAAAGCACTACCATGGCTGAGCTATTTATTAATAAATAGAGCTCAATATTTATTTAGATAATATTATTTGCAACCACTCAGACTGTCCCACACCCGTGACTCCCCGAAGGGAGCTGAACGATCATCGTTAGTAGCAATCAGACCGAAGTCCAACTGCTACCAGCCTCACGCTCAAGGTGTGGAACTCTTCCACATCATCATGGTTGCAATAACTCAACACGTTTGTGAAGAGTATGCGAAGATATACTACAGAAATGATCCTGTGAAGTATGATCTTAAAGAAAACAGCTCAAAAGTGAGCATTTATAGAAACGTTTTATACATTATTGCCATAGAAGTTTTCTGCCTGCCATCTGTTGTAAAATGCTTCAAATAAAGCAACCTTAGCTTACACATGTTCTAAAAATAGCTTACCTGCGCTCGCTCGCCATCGTACTTCCACTCGCATGTAAATTTGAGCCCATCGAAGCGTTGCAATACCTCCTGTACGCCTTTTGTCGGATGCGCCAACATAGGTTTCAGAGGAATACCTGGAGTTAGCTTACAATGATTGGGCAATTCCTTAATTCCATGTTTCAAAATAATCGGAATGATCATATCATAATTCGGACACTCGCTATGTTACAATGGGCACAATTACTATAAAGTACGTCAACAAAATATTATAGAAATTCTCACCAATATGTTGTTTTTAAGATGATTGTTAATTCATCTTGGAGTGCTTTAAAATTCTCCGTTGACATATTTTTAGCAGCATTTAAAGTTTTCGGTGGATACTCCTGCGTTGGCGGAGTCATAGCACACGCCAATGCTAACGCCTGAATGGCTGATTGTTCAGCTAAACCAATTCGCAGCTTTCCAGCAAGCGAACGTATAAGAAAACGCGCTTCTGATTGTTTACAGGCAACAAACATAGACTGAATTTTTTCCACTTTCTTCGTTTGCGCCGCATTTCCGCTCATCTTTGCTATTTCCTTTAATTTTGCAAACACTCCTCGAATATTCAATGGAGCCGGTTGGAAAATCATACGCTGATTACTTTTTGATTGTTCTGCAACAATGCCCAAATCACCAGCTGCCTGTGCATCTGCTTTGATTTGAGCGACAGTTCGACCCGTACTCTGAGCGATTGCTTTCATTAGACTTGTTTCTGCAACGCCAAGCTCCATCCCTTCATAGGCTGGCGCTAGTTTATTAAGACACAAGTATACACTAGGCAGTAAATCTTCCGGAGTTAAAATCATAACTGATCGGAAGTAGTTACTTAAGATTTCGATCATTTTCAAGCGGGCTGAGACATTTTCGATTTCTTCCAAGGTTCGAGCCAATGCCAAGTATGGAACTCTAAAAATATCATCAAATACTATTCATTTTAATAACACTCAGGGAGCTAAAACATACTTTTCCCCTGTTTCCAAGTAGCACACTCTATAGGATCATATTTTCCTACTGCGGGATTATAACTGCCTGGGACGGTGGTTTTCTTAGCTCCTGATTCTGTTTTTACTTCTGCAGCTAAATATATATTTGTTAGTTACAAAATTCAAACCTTTCACAGTTAATACTTACTAAAGAAGTTTTTCTTCTCTGTTACATCTGATTTCACCTTTTTACCAGACTCTTTCTTAACTTTCTTCTTTGTAGCAGGACTTTCTTCTTTCTTAACATCGTCAACTGAATCGGCTTCGTCTTCTTCGCTTTTAACTATATTTTTTGGAGAACTTTCATCTTCATTTGATTTATCTGTTTTAATTTGCTTCGTTTGCTTCTTTTCAGCTATTTCTTCAATTTTAGGACTTTCAACATCAATTTTGTCTTCCTTAGCAGTTACTGCTTCATCTTCACTGGAATCAGAAACAATCGCAAACTTTTTCCTTTTCTTTTTATCAGGTGATGTCCCAATTACTGCTTCTTCTTCTGATTCATCTGCTTCTTTTTTAACTTCCTTTATAGGACTCTGGTTTTTAGTTTTACTAACCACACTACTAATAGTGGGATTAGTATTTTTAGCAGTCAATACCTTTTTCGGTTTTTTAGCAGCTAAACAATAATATCTTTTAATAGCATTATAGTATAACACTTAAATTACAACTTACAATTTTTCTTCTTTTTATCATCATTTGAATCACTTGTGCTGGAATCTCTAGTCCGTTTCTTATCAGGTGATACTGATAAAGATTCAGTGGTTCTAATAAAACGCAAAACAGTATTGTTTATTGTAACAGGTAAAGGCACAATGCCTCTTTGACTTGTTTTAATAAAAACTTTTGTAAGATGTTGAAAGAACATGTTGAAGTGAAGAACTTAATAATTGAGTACATACCCATTGGAATCAGCAGGTTTAGCGTTCACACGATTGAAGAAAGAGCTACGAAATATTAAATGAATTGATAGTTAAATTAAATTCAAGTTAGTACTTTTGTTTTGATAAATATACAAATTTTTTGCATTTAATTTAATATAAATAAAAAACTTCTTGTTCAAACTTAACTAAGCACTAACTTACGTGATACTTCGTTGGGCCATTTTGATTATCGGTAAATGGAGACCCTAATTATTTTAAATCACTTTGTTTTGCAACGATTTCATCAATAAAAACGGTTTACGGTAGAGGTTAGCTTCAGCAGTATGAATAATGCCTACTTCTTGAATTTTCCCGCCTAAATCTAAACGTCATCCAACAATGCATTGACATTCAAACAATAATAAGTCCTTAAAAAAATTTGAAGTAGTCGCAACATTTTAAGAGAATGTTTTTTAATTTTGCAGAAATGCCAGAAATAAAGTAAATTATAATCAATAACACACAAGGATAAATAACACAATATCTTAGATATTATATTTGTATACTTATTTGACGTTATATTTTCATATCAAAATCAATTTTCAGTTGAACAAGTACCTTAATTCAAATCCATAATTAAAATTAATTTATCTTTATTTGCCTCCCAAACCGCTCATTAAGTTGCCTAATCCACCCAGACCGCCGGCCGCACCAGCTTGCAACTGTCTCATCATATTCTGAAGACCAGACGGACCACCCATCTGGTGTAAAATGCGCGGATCCATCATTTTCGCCATTTGTTGATTCAGCTTGGCCATTTGCACTTGATTGACATTCTTGGCTGTGTCGCCGCCCTTGAATAAACCCTTAATACCACCCATTTTCTTCACTACTGCAGCAAACTTGGAATACTGTGTGATCAGTTCTTTCACTTCACGTTCTAAACACATTTAAATTTATATTATAAACCAGACTTAATATCATCAGTTTTCAATAATACCAACCTGTCACTCCAGCACCTTGCGCCACTCTTGTCACACGTCCGGCTTGTTTGGAAAACAGTTTAGCTCCGTCACGATTGTCCAACTCGTTATCGCACATGCTGTCCATAATAGTCATAAGGCGTTTTAACCTAGCGACCGACTCCTGCTCGCTGCCTTTTGTCATAAAATCTTGGCTAAATCCGGGAATCATTCCCATGATCTGCGAGAACGGTCCCATTTTCATAATGTTCTGGAATTGCTCGTACATATCGCGCATTGTAAATTGACCGTGCTTGATTTTCTCGAGGAGTTCCTCGTTATCTTCGAGTTTGAGTTCGTTCACTTTGTCTATGAGCCCTTCAATGTCACCCATTCCGAGCAGTTTGCTCACGAATGGCTTTGTTTTGAACGGTTCCAGGTCATCGATGTGTTCACCGGTACCGATGTAAATAATTGGACTGTTTGTTGCTGCAACACTAAAGAAATTCACAATTACATTGTATGTACGGTAGATATTTATAATTTTCTACTTACGCACTGAGCGCACCACCACCTTTTGCGTGGCCATCCAATTTTGTGATGATAACCGAACCTACGTCCACTTTATCTTTGAAGGCTTTCGCTTGTCCTTCACAAGCTTGTCCTATCGTCGCGTCCATGACGAATATAATATTGTCAGGCCTCTAATTTTGCAGAAAATTAAAACCAATTAAATTCTGTTTACAATTTCATAATAAATTACTTACAATTGCGTTTGCAACTGCTAACATTTCTTCAAACAATGAATCTTCTTGTTTGTGTCTTCCACTTGTGTCCACAATAATAATTTCAAAGCCTTCTTTTTTAAACATCTCCACACCATCTTGTGCAATCACAACAGGATCTACTTCTGTATAACTAAAAACATTTTAATACAGAGATTTGAATTTTCTTTTCTAAGTAAAAAGAATCCCACCTTCCATAAAATGGAATTCTAGCCTTGGTACAATTTTGCTTAACTTGATCGTAAGCACCAGCTCTGAATGTATCTGCACACACCAAAGATGACTTCCAATTTTTCTTCAGGTAGTGATAAGCTAATTTTGTGCAAGTTGTAGTTTTGCCTGAGCCTTGCAGACCAACAAACATAATTACATTTGATTTGCCTTTGATAGGCTGGAAAGGTTTAACTCCTGGATCCACAAGCTATCAAAAATAATACTATAGTAGTAATTGCATATTCATAGTAAGTTTGAATGATATACTTTAACAAGTTCTTTAAATACTGCACTTTGAATCATTCGGCGTTTATTTAATCCACTAGCCATCTCCTCAAAATCGATGACTGCGCGTACATTTTCTCGCAATTTCTTGACGAGACGAATGTTAACGTCGGCCTCCAGGAGAGCCGCGCAAATCTCCTTAAGCATGCCATTGAGAACCTGCGAAAATATGTAAATAATGCCTGTGATCACATTTCGTTAACCTAAAACAGCTGGTTTTGCGTACTTCTTCATTGATGATCGTCGCCTTGCTGAGAGATTGCAGGGCGGACGTAATTTTACGTCCTAAATCTGCTAAAACCATCTTGACACTTTATTGCACTTTTAATATGTTCCAGTTAAAATCAATTATAACACAACATATTTGTTAAAGCCTTTTCAGCTTTCACTCGTCGTAGCAATTTTTTTGACAACGTAACAAGAAAATAACACGTTGTATGTTGTACGCATGTGCAGTTTAAAAACATCACAAGTGGTACTTCACTGAATGTGTACAGATGGCGCTGCATGTGCCAAAGTTTATTCATTTGCGAATATTAATACAAAGTAAACTAAAGTTATAACACTTTATTGTATGAACTTACAAATGCTATGAAATATTTACAATGGTGCACACAAATTCATTAATTTATAAGGATTTGAACCACTTATAAACGCCAATTCTTCATCCATTCCTGCAACTGGTTGCACCCACTTTCTTTCTCTATAATATTCCATGCAACTTACAAACTCTTTGGGATTATAGCTTGTCACTTGAATAGGTACAAATGGGTCAAGATGTTCAAAGCCCTCCTTTCCCAACAGATATCTGCAACAAAAATGTTATATTTTTAACTTCTTATCATGTTATATTTTTATATTAATGTTCCTTACCTGGGTAGAGGTGACTTGTGATCTTCCTCAGCAATTGCAATCTCATCCACAGTCAGTACACAAACAGCATTATTCCAGTCGGTTTTTGTTAAATTCAGGAAGCCTTCAGTTATTGTAATTTTAGCAGGTGCCACCCTTTCCTTCTTCTCAGTGAATACTCTAGTATATGGGTAGAAAAATGCATTGTACCCATCAATAGCAACAAAAGTTTTACAAACACCACTTTTGGACAAGACTTTAATTTCCTCAGCAAGTGCAGTGATTGTGTCACATGCATATTTTATCCTATTAATTCCATGATCAATTAGTTCCACCAATGAAGCACCCTTTTCAGTTGCTTCTCTTTTACTCCATTGATATGTTTGTGATGTAACAAACTCTGGTTTACTTAAAAAGTGAGCATTTTGTACCTTAATGTGATGCAGCCAGGCTGCAGCATCAATATTTAAATCCACATATCCTTCTTTGCTTTCTGAATTACTATATTCTTTGCAAGACCTCATCCATTGTCCTACCCAAGGTACATGAACAACAAAGTGTCCACTTTCATAGGCATGGTGAATTAAATGTGCAAGAGTGAGTGATTTTCCTACACCTTTATCACCATACAAAACAAACTTGACTGGTGGTTTGCTGTAATCAATTCTATTCATGCAGTTTATAACATCCAGAGCTGGTTCTCTGATCATCAGGCATGTTTCAGCAAATGTTTTTGTCTGAATGTCAAAGGATTTGGGAATGCCTCCATGCTGAAACAGTTGTTTTCGTACCTCAGGATCAATTTTGTAAAACTGTGCACTTTGAGATGGGTTATGCTTCAATGGATTTTGTTCATTCGTCCGGAATATGTCGATTTTTCGTTGGGCAACTGCAGCTATAGAATAACTTTTGGACGGTGTTGAATTCACGCTGTTTTTTACGAGAAACTTAGTAATTTTCAACATTTTGAGGCTGATTCAGAGAGATTTGTTGTGTACTAACCTCAAAAGTATAAAATCGCATGGCGGAAATAAAAAAAATTTTAAAACAAACTTTAAAAACGTTGAATAAACAATACCAGAGCAGGAAACTGCGCAAACCATACACAATTAATAATTAAATCTTAATTAAAAGCTTAATTATATAATATCCGTGAATTTGTTAGTTTATTGTATTATTTATTGATATAGCAAATATTACAAATTATCAAATTGAAAAACAAAGGACTAAGGATTAAAACAATTTGAACAGTTGATTAAGAAATCTATCCACCTACTCAATTAATAACCAGCACAGACCAATTCAAAGAGAATCAAAGATAAATGCTTTTCATGGCATTATTTAAGTTAAGTGACTTGAATATTTAAGCAGTCCGCAGTATAATATGTACGCCTGAGTCGGAGAACACCGCTTCGCTCATATCTCCCACCTTCAGGGCGAATGCGGCATCTTCGAAGGGTTTCTGCATGGCGCCGCGAGCGAACGGTCCAAGATCGCCGCCCCGCTTTGCAGACGAACAATCGGAGTACTTAGATGCCAGTTCTGCAAATTGTGCTTTTCCAGAAGTGATTTGTTCTCTGTATGCTGTAATAGATTAAACATAAAATAACAACAAAAGTGATGTTTTCTTTTCAATACTCATACCTTTAATCATATCATGAGCTTCTTCCTTACTCCTTGTGATGTTTTCTTCACGCCATGAAGATGGTCTTCTTGAATCTTTGTGCTTCACTAGTAAATGGGAGGCTTGAACACGCTCTGGGCCTGTGTTGGGTTCTGCAGGTTTATCTGGTGGGTCCCATTGAGATTCTTTACTGTATATATTGAGATAATAATGTTGACCTAAAATAAATTAATAATATTAGTTTATTACTAGTAAGTACATACATAGTAAATAATAATTCCGGTTGATATTGGAAACAAATCCTCAACATATAACCTCTAAGATTTTCTCTCTTGACCGCATTGTTAAAATATCAATTCTAGTATATTATATAGTTGACCTGCGAATTTATTTAAAGAAATATTAAGAAATATCCTGATTTTATTACCTGTAGAACGGCTGAGCCGTTTTTCCCAACCGGCAGGCAGTTGTTCGTCCGCCATTTTATGCCGCAAAATCCAATAACCTTGAAATGAGTCGTTATCTGCAGAGCATTTAAAAATTTAAATCTTTATTGTAGCATCAATACCAATTAATAAATTTGCGTAAAGAATTAAACAATAATAAACTCTATTTTAATGTACATATTTTAAAAAGAAATAGAAACAAATAAATTCACCTAAATTCCAAGTTGTAATATTCGGTTATGTTCGGGTTAACCACTCGCCTTTCAATTGGCCAGCATGGTATAGACTGCGCGTCGAAGTTGCCCGAACACGTGTCATCGGCGTCTGGCCGCGTCTACTGCTCAGCTGGGCGGTGACAGTTCGATTTCGTCTTTTTCTGCGCTTCGTACCCAACGCAACCGACACACACATACACCCGCGTACGCCTGGCGTTTACAACGGGACGCGCGCGCTGTTTAGATCGCCGCGAGAGTGAACGAGTGAAGACACGTCGCGTCGTGTAACAGCACCGTGCGCGACGCTGTATTTTATTTATTCCTGCAAAAGATCCTGGCAGTGTCTGGTCCGTTCAGGAATCATCCATGTCGTGAGTTTTCTCTATCCCGCTGTGAATTTTACAAACATTTATCCTCCAAGTGCCTGTGCGTGCGTCCAACGACTTCAAACGACAACAAAACAGGTTGGCGAATTTGTAAACACACCTGCATGCAACGGAACAATATCGCTTGATATCAGATAACGAAATATTCAATTTGAAACGAGTGCAACATTTAACGGTGCCTTCTTTTGCTTTTGGGCACACACGGATTTAATGTGCGCGCAGTTCGTGTGCGCTGTGGATGGCCGTTAATGGTTACGTGGATTGATTTGAGAGTTTTTAATTTTGTGGGGGTGTTTTATGTATGGTTTTTATAAACAAAACGAGATAACGTGTGCCTGCCTGCGCTGCATTCACGATAAGGTAATAGCGACACTGTCGCGGCGCATATTGTTTTTCACTTGTTTATTTTTTTGTCCGTCTCTGCACTGTTCTTGATTGGAATACTCATTATTATTATTAACATTTACGTATTAATTAGTCTACTAACACATATTATTTATTCTTTTGTTTATTAAATTATGATATAGCGAAACAGTTGACGCAATAAAATCTATGCTCGATGCATTTGTTTAAACATTTGTTTTAATATTTGTAATACTCAAACAGAGTGAAACAGTCGAGCTTGCAAATGTTATAATTTTTATCGTTATGTTATAAGTCAGTTACGAAATGGTGATTGTGAATGCAATCATTCAAATTCCAGACATTTACAGCTGCTATTATCGCTATTATTATTATTTTTGGAGAATATTTGGCGAGACTAATTTATGCGAATAACGGTTGGGTGTAATGGAGGTGAAGATCGCTGTTAGTAAACAGCTTAGTTTCGTTTTATTGCTATAGGTGTGCATTTTCAGACATTTTTCGCATTTTAAATTGCATTTCATTGCTACCTGTCGTCCGAAACGTCTTAGATATTTAATATTGGTTACTAGGTGTGTAGTTATAGCATTACCTCAAATATTACTCACTTCTGTGCATAAGTAAACAATCATTTGACCCTGGGTAACACGAATCTTCGAAGTAGTTGCAGGTGACTCATAATAATACAATGATTTTATTTTATTCTGTTTTATTGCTTGAAGTATTTACAAATAATCAATGAACTTTTAGATAATATGATTATATTTATTATATTGCGGATTACATGCTTCATAGATAATTTTTAATCTTTAGATTTATCTTAAATTGAATTTATTATTGTTTTGGTTTTGATTTCTACGAAATGATTTATTTTGAGTTTTATTTCACTGTAATGTAATTTATTAATTAGTCGGGTATCAATATTATTGACTTATAACATTCACCACTCACCTTTCATGCCAATGTCGGTCGTATTGAATTAATAAAAAACATACGCACGATTCGCCGAAGTAGCGTTACCGCGGACACGGAATAACGGTGTGCGTTTCATTCTCTTTTTCCGTTTCACGTTACTGCTAATTAGTTACGTTAGCTGAACATAGTACACTAGATTGAATGTGGTAATTTTTAAGTGATCCCATAACACACTACACATTCGGTTAATTATTTGCGCGGTTAATGAACGAATTGTTTCGTTTTCAGGTGTGGTTTGTCTATAAATGCTATTTTTGGATTGGGATTGTTAGTATTTGCTGATAGGATTATCACAATTATTATTGTATTTTTTAAAATTTATTTTCTATATTGGAATTGGTGAAATTAGCAGTTTTTGTTAAAAATTATTGCGAAATTTACGTTTTTAAAAATATATTTTCCTATTGACTATTTTGTTGTGATTACTGTTTGTGTTCTCGTGATAAAAAGTACAATAATCTCTTAGCTGCCACCTTGAATCACGTATCACGACCAAAACAATAATTATTTACGAAAAGCTAGCGTTATATTTACGCCACGCCGCGTAAAACCGCGCACAACCTTGAAACCTGGCACACAATGCCGAAATATTTAAACAATTTTATCAATGCTCGTGCTGTGTGTACGTGCAAATTATGTCGCAGCGTGATTTCGGCGATTTCGGCTGCTTTCTTGCTTTATGCCAGTGCCAAATTGTTCATTTCAATTGAGCATTATATCATCACGTCTCAGCCGCGATACAGCATCCGATCGTTATGTGGGCTTTATTGAAGGTCGCCGTGCAATTATTGTTGCTTCCCTCGCAGACACCCTTTTATAAATCGGGGGTCTCCTCATGTATAGAATTCGGTTCACCCCCAATGCGATGTGACTTCGTGTCTGGACGGATAATAGGAGACTGCGGAACATACACAGTGTGAATGGAACAAAACGTGTTTTATCGTATTTAGGATGTTGCATTATTGACTTTTGTCAATGGGATAATTTGTAGATATAATTCAATTTACTATTATCATTAAATATCATTAGGAGATATATTTAATGACGTGTGAATTAGTTTTGATAGTTTTTTTCTAAATACACTCGGTATATATTAGATTTTTGTGCAATTGCAGTGTCCAGTCTAACAGTCTAATCCCCAGGGCAAGGAAGTCGTGCGTTGGTATTGTCGGCTTCAATGAAGACACACTCAAAGGCACGTGTGTTGTTTCGCATGAATGCCATTCGCAATGAGGCTTAATCCGAGATCTAGCACTCTTCGCATGTTTACTTTTCTTTATATTCAATGTCGTGCTCAATTTCATGTAGGAAATCATTGCTTTCTTCGAGTTATACACCTACTAAGACACTAAAGACTCAGTTGATGACAATTGCGAAGTTGTGATGTAGTGATTCAAGACAAGTGTGCAATCAATCTCGCTTCTAATTCCTATATCGCACTTATCGTAAGGGATGAGAAGATATTTTATGCACCCTCTAACTAGTTACACGCATATAAAACTCCCTCTTCTTTTGGATCAATTTTTGCAAATGTGCCATCTGTGGCTTTGCAATTTACATAAAATCTTTAATAAACAAATTAATTAGACTGCAGGAGTAGATGCTTATACAGTATCAGCTAGTTCTTTGTTGCAAGTGATTAATAAATCAATGGACGCACCGACGCTTGACGGCCTGACGTTCTAATAATGTGGCACGTGACTCTGATTCGCTTCATACATCATTCTGTTCCGATTTGCGCGATAACGCGATTATATCAGCCGTGCAAGAAGGTTCGCCGGCATTATTTATCATTTTCTTCTGGTAATTGAACTTGCTGCAAGTCTTATTTTACATTTGCTACGCCTGCACTGACAAATTACGTTTTGCAATGATATTTCGACATGGGTGTAAAAGAGTGCGATGGAGACTAAGTTTTTATCAGATATTATCATTAATCTTGATATTTTCTTTTGTAAATAATGAAAATTCACGAAATTAAGTTGCCATTTCCATCAACTTGACTAAAAATACATTTTGGAGTGTAGAATGTTCATAAAGTTAGGTTATTTTCGGTGACTATAAAACTCTGCAACTTAAATTACACAAATATAATTTTAGTAAGATCTAGTTTCCAGAATAACTTTACAAATATTTATTTCTATCGATAATCTAGTTATAAGCGAATAAAAGCATTGATTGTATTACGTTATCTTGATGCGGATGTGTGATTACATGTGTGCAGTATGAATAAATAGATACCGCCCGAAAGATTGTTCTGTTCGATATTATAGATTTTAGAAATGTGCGTACACACTACGTCGATATTTATGGAAATAAGTAGGCCGTGAATTCATGTGAAAGCGGAATCGACGTGTGTCTGCTGACTAGGCTACTAGATGCTAGAAGTCATGGGCCTCATACCTGCGTGTTTCAAATAAAAGTTGCTCGAACTCGCCGGCGAGTACATTCAACTTTTGTCGAATTAAATCAACGCGAAATTCATCACACTTTTGGCGTGTTATAACAAACCTATCGCTAGTTTTTACATGGGCTTGGTTTTATTAACGAGATTAAGGTGACTGAGCGCGTATAATGCGAATATTTTCTATTTTAGAGAAAATTTCGTTTTTGTTTCTATTGTTTGAAGATTTATGATGTCACATTGTCACATATTAATGACTGTAAAAAATAATAAGCACTCTTTGTGGACTAAATTTCGACTTCTTTGGTGCTGTTTAAATATGCGTAGTCGTACTCTAATCGTCGCGGTTAATTCGCACGACGTAACGATGCGAACATCTAATATTGCGCGACGCTGTGGGGACGTTTTGCAGGCGTCAGTTGGCTGGTTGGCTGGAGGAGATGCGCCGCTAAATATCATCAGCGGCAAGCGAAGTTTCACGTTAATGAGATTGCATTGTTTTGGGAAGTTACGAGCGTAACGGGTCCTGCCGCACCGGCCCCAGCGTCTACCGCAAATCAGATTCTGTTTCACAAACTCGTGTGATTTATTTTGCGCACGTTGCACAACACCACACACAACAACGTGCGCATTTTTCAGCGACAGGCACGCCGGAAAATGTAGGAAATTAGGGTGTAAACAAGGATAATGTTTTGTAATTCATTATTCAACTGGGTTTCGATTCAATGGCGAAATTTTGCCTGAAAGCAGCCATTTTGGTTGATACATTAAATATTTAATGGTATCTAAAATTGTGTTGAATGTAAATTTTATTATATCTATTAAAATATGGCTGAACTGTGCTCCGGATGCAAAGTATGCTATAAAATTTGTTTACAACGCCAGATTTTCAAGATGGAAATAGATCGTTAGGGTGAAAAGCCCAAATATTTACGAATTTTGTTGGATTTATAGAATGATTTTAAATTTTCGTAAAATTACAGCTGAATATAAAAAGTTTAATTTTTTTATGTTTGTAGATAAAGATTACAAACAAAGTAATATTTTTTCAATAATATAATTATTTGAATGCTCATTGTTGAGGCATCATTATTGTTTTTTGCGATTGTCTCCGCCATGGTCGTGCCAATGCTGCAAAGTGATGATGATACAATCTACGATTATATCTTTGAATCATCACAGCAGGCTCAAAATTAAGTTACACTCACGATTCCCCGACTCTCATGATGCTGCGAAGAGAGGCGCAGCGCTGTTTGCGGTTTTCAATCCTTTGAGTCGTTTGAGTCATGCCTTCAAAGTGAAAGTTTTTATTTTATTAAATTCAATGCCGACCACTCATGTTGGCCGTAATTCGTTCACATGGTTTATGTAATCATTTTTTATCATTTTCTCTCGATTGAGGTGAAAATAATTAAAGTAATCAAGATGCAAATGTTGGCAACGGAAAATTGTTAAGGTTGGTGCACTTTTGTTGCATTTATTAAATCATGTGTAATTAAAAGTTACATTTTTACACTTTGCAAACTGTGATTATTATTTTTCTCTGTGCGGTGCGGCTGACATTTATTTCATTTCACTGCAAACTTTTCAGAATAACATTCAGCGCACTGTTGGCAGAAAATACTAATTAGTGCTCACGATGCGTGCAAAGTTAACCAAGTGCATGTAACTTGGTTTGAGTTTGCGCAACAAGGGCATACGCTGCTTTCACGACATTGACATCTCACATAATTGTTCATATTCGTATCATATTTCATACGTGTATAGTAGTAAATTTCATTTTCCAAATTAGTACACAACTCGTGCATGTATTGCTAAATAAGTTCTTAATATGGTAATAATGGCTAAAGTTACATTGTGATTTATCAAAATGTCATTATTACAAAGTCATATTTAACAATTTTTAAATTTTTTAACGATGTTTTATTTTATGCTGTACTCTGTACTGCTCTGGTGTGGATGCTGTGGCATACTCTATTTTTAAATACCACATGCTCATTACGAAATGGACGTATTCAAAATTCCATTAACGCCCCTCGAAATTATTAAATTCTAATCAACGCATTAGTACCGACTGGTGTTTGGGCCGTAGTGTAATTTTAGACATGTATGGCGCCGAATTGAATGCTGTGTTGTCTGTGATCGGATATCGTTTGTCTGTAGCAAAGTGTTTTGAAGGCGCTGATCGTTGAATTAATTAATCATCAAATAATTACAATATGGATACATGTTTCATTCGATTATTTATTTATCATGTTTTGATGTTTTATGTTGGATAATTTCAGTTAATAATTAATTACACGAACACTGTAAGCGATATGATTATAATTGTTTTCCAATTAAATTTAGAATTGAATTCTACGTTTGATTGTGAAATGATTTTTTTGATTAGATTATTATCTAAAGAGTTATAATCGGTTAAAATTGAAGTTTACAAGTGAAACTTGACAGTTGACATAAATTGATCTGTAATTTTTTATTAAAATGCTTATATAATTTTTTTGTGAAGTATTTACTTCTTAATATATTTATAAAGAAGTGATAAAGAAATCTTGATTGGTTTAGGAGTAATTATTCAAAAACAATTATTTTTGCAGCACGTAAAACAAAAAACATATTTTTAAAACAATTTATAATTTAATTTATTGCTAATTAATAAATATTAAATATATTATATTTATGTAGGTCAAGTCAAGTTCATTATTATATCAGCGTGCATTCAATGTATTCAATGAACTTGACTCATATTTTAAACGCAATGGTAAACACTAATCCCATTCGAATCTACCAGTCCATACAATCGATTAGA